CCTATGGCAACACTTCACATGATTTCCCCATTAGCGTGTGGAAAGTCATAGAGGAAGGGAGTACGCTAGTTTCTCTCTTGATTTTCATATAGATTAAAATCTTATAAGTTGGAAAACTATACGGAACTGAAAACTACATTAAGCATAGTTCTAAAGAAAAGTATCACGGGAATTTTAAAAAATATTTCTATCAAATAAAAAGGAAAAATATTAAGGAAAGGGAAAGTATCTTAGAACATTCCTATACAACTGAAAAGAGGAGGAGAGGGAAGGGAGAAGGGCTAAAGGCTTGAAACCGGTCTCTCCCCAGATGGCGTATTCGAGTGTTGAGAAACTGAATTTTAAATAACCGACTCATTAAAAATTTACATTTCAAATTATTTGACCGATTTCGTTCAAATTTCGTATACTGCCGTTAAAATTATTCTTTAATATGATGTAAAAATTTGTATTTCTTACTATTGAAGATTTTTAGCCCATTGAGCAGCTCTAGTGCGACGTAAATGACAACAACTATTGAATTTTTTTTTTACTATAATTTAATAAAATAATCATAATTTTTTTTCTCTATGGAATTATCTTTAGATAAATGAAATTAAGATAAATTTCATTTCAATAAACCATATATTTGTGTTTCGTAACTTCAAATATAGTTTACACTAATTAATTACTTGGCATATTTAAGTTAGGCCCAAGATCTGTTATGATTGAGACTTACTATGTAAAAATCCGAACATTAGATCAAGAGTTATTCTGGGTATTACATTTTAATTTTTGCGCATTATGCTCAGATTGTTTTAATACAAATGGAGAAATTTCCGTATCTTGATCTGTGGCAGTATAATTGCCAAGTCTTGGCAACTTTCCGGCAGTGGCCGGCGAGAAATTAAAAAAACATCGCCGAAAGGGACCAACCCGAAAGGTATAACTCGTAGCCAACCCCGGGCAAACATCTACATGTTTTTTTTAATGCAAATTTAAAATCTATTTGGCACCTTGCATGGCGATTATAGTTCGCGCGACAGATCATGATACGGAAATATCCCCCTACAGAACGGTGAAGGCCTCATACCAGGGCAGTGAAACGTTCCAGTGACGTAGTTTCGATGCATGTGGGGAAGGTGGTTTTGTCCCCCTAAATTACGCCACTGAAACGTTCTAATAAATCATACTCGGAATATATAAGAATATCTTATATGTATATATGTTAAGAGAAGAAGATGGCTTAAAAATGAAAAAGAACAGATGACAAAGGAAACTTTGTGAAACGAAGAAACTAAAAAAGAAAATCTTGATTTGCCAATTTATGAAAATAACCTAAAGATTATTGAGTTTAATGTATAAAGAACTAGCAGAAGGTTTAGTAAAAAAAAACCAAAAAATGAAAGAAAAGAAAACTGTGCTGGTGCAAAATATTGTGGAATAAAGGACTGCTGCACAAATTTTAATGTCTGGAGAAACTGATCAGGTGCAAAAAGTAAAAACAGAATTGATTGTCTTCGAAACTGGGAAAGAATAAATTTTGAAATAACAATGGAAAATAAATCCTAATTTTTATTTTATCTTTAAATGTAAATTGCTTATTTGAAATTTATAAAAAGACTATAATTTTTCAAACAAGGATAGGGTATACTTGGTGCTGTGAGGACTAAAACAATGTGAATGAAGCACATTAATGAAAATACAGAAATGGACATACTTTAGCTTTTGCTAAAATTTGGATACATGATAATTTTTGTTTTTTAAAAAAAGTAAGATAAAAAATAAGTTATGAAGTCATCATCCATCACATGTAAATGTTTTTAGTTTTGGGGAAGGGGACTTAAGTTTTTTTAAAATGAGTATGTAGTCAAATTTCAGTTCACAAAGTTATACTCGCTATTATATAGTCTTATTTAGATATATGAATAAATAATATTCTTATATTTGGATGATTAAATACGTACTGCGTTATAATTAAATACTGATAATTAAATAATACTGCGTTCTTAATATGTTACACAAATTGATTAATATGCTCTACAAAAAATGTATTTTCAGTTTTTAAGTCAATTGTTATCTAATAAATTATAGTATGACCCATTTTTGCTGCCAAATATTTAAATTATTCCTGAAAGGTTTGAAGAATTTTCTGTTAAAATTTTAAAAAAACAATTCTACTGCCACATCCTGAAAAAAGTTAAAAAGAAAATGCTACCACTTCATTAATCTACCTTCCATCATAAATGTAAACTAGCTGGAAGTGCTGTCGGATCAATTAACAAAATTTTTTTCTACTCTAAAATTCAAAGTTTGATAGTGTAAATTTAGAAATTTTTTTAATCATGTTTTTTGAACATAACAAACAAAAAAGAATATTCTTATAAGAATTATGAACAAAAATACCACAAAATTGCATTGAATTTTCTATTCAAACATAATCACTGTTTTAAATGTTCAACTTATCTGAATGCTATTTCCTATAATTTCCCCCACACCTATGAATTGCAAATCTGTGCTGTGATATAATTATAGCTTCAATTTACATTCAAAAATAGCATTTTAATACATTTGAACTTTTTATTTAGCCAAGTTATTACAGATATAAATGTTTTTAAATAAATATTTAGTATTATGTTAAAAAAAATGAACAATAATAGTAATTGCAGGGAGTCCAGTAAGAAGACATTTTCAATTTTCCTGACATTTCTCTGTAAATGAAATATTTTTCCTCTATTGCGCAGATGCCATTAATATTAAATTTTATTAAAAAAATTATTTATCACTTAAAATATATAATCAATGAGAAAAAAATTAAAAAATAACATTAATGGATAATTTTATATTATAAAATAAACACTTTGTATTTGAAAATAAGGCAGGTTTCATTTTAGATCTTAAGAAGGGCATTATATCCTCTTAAAGAAGAACATCCAGCACAAAAAGAAGCATTGCATTCCATAAAAATTTGCATCATTTTTAAGAAACCAAAAATACACAAATTTTATCATTAAAAAAATCTTTTTTCAAAGGAATAGTTTAACTAAAAAATATCTGCAGATAAATTAGCACATTCAATAAATTACTTTTAAAATTAGCTTAATTCTTGTATTTTGAAAATGATGCTTGTCATAATAACATATTAAAACAATCAGGATTTTAAAAAATTATTTTCATGTTAAAATGGCTGAAAAAACCATTGAAATTTAATGTGGATTTGAAATTGAATCTTCGTGAATCAAATGTGTTAAATATTAATTACTAAAATATAAAATTCGCCAGCTATTATATCATATTAAAAATATGAGAATAAAAAAAACACACACTGAAATAGCTGAAAAAACGATCTTTAAACAACGTAGATTTATGATAAAATAGTTGTGAACTGAGCGATACAAAAAGTGACTCCTTAAGTTCAAAAGGCACTCTTGTTGTAATAACATCCTATAAAAAATATATGACTTTTTAAAAAAAACATGTGGAAAGAGCTGAAAAATAACAACTGAAAAACGGTGAATTCATCGACGTGAAGTTATTATTGAACTGTCAAGAATCAAACACATCAAAAAGTGATAACTCGAATTTGAAATTCTAACATCGTAATGAGATTGTATTAAAAATATCTGAATTTGTAAAACCAAAAAAAATGGTAAATAGCTTGTGAAAGAACAGTAATCAAATTATGTGAAATTACAATGGAATCATCACTAATCGAACGTGCCAAGTAAACTCGTCAAAAAGTGATAACTTAAATTCGAAAATCGTAATAAACCTAATATATGATAATTTGAAAAAGTATGTGATAAGAGGAGAAAAGATCATAACTAAAAATAATTGCTGAAAATCTGTCACATAACAACCTGAAATTACAATGGAATCGCTTGAATCGAATTACTCCAATTCCAAATTCACATGTCTTATTACCATTGTATAAAAATATCAGAATTTGAAAAACCATGTGATCATCAAAAAGCCATGAATTATCATCAAAAGATGAGAAATTAGGATGGAATTGTCTCAAATCGAACGCATCAGAAAAGTGATAGCGAAAATTCGACAGAGAAAAATTATGAATTACTGAGGAAAAAACATTCCAAACTTCAGGACCACTTTGAAGAAACATGGGAGAAAACTTTTTTGTGCCACTCTTAGTGAAACACAGCTCACGGATTGAAGCCACGTTTAAAACTTGTAGTTTTAAAACTTTTCCCTGTTTTACTAAAAGATTTTTAGAATTTCTCTGATATTTCATGGAAATTTCCAGAGTCAATAAATTCCCTGGACACCCTGAATTGCTGTTTAAAATTAATTTTCAGCAATGCATTAAATTAGAAAATAAAAAATAAATAACATTTAGTTTTCTAACTGGGACAGTTCACTAGTTTTCCCTCAGTGTTGTATTTCTCCCTGGACACTGTGAAAAACCAGATAAAACTGGACCAAATGAAAGAAACAAAGAATGAACAATACAATTGTTTAGCAATGCGTATATTATAATTGTAGTAAAAATAAATTTAAACAAATAAAATTTAATATTACCAGAAAAGTTTTTCATGTTTACTGTTTTTAAAAAACAATTATTTTTATATTATTTATTTTAGTTTCAGACAGAATTTTAAAATCTTCATATCTTATCATCTCAGAGTCAGTTTGAGTATTAACATTTAACAGTATTTAATTACAAAAAGTATGATATTTGTAATTGTGAATTCAATATAAAATTTGAAGCAGTGCATATATTTAGTGTGATTTGTTCATTTAGTAGTATATACCAACATTATATTTTCACAATTCTTTATATCATTATAAAACTGTGCTTTACTTATTTACATGAAATATTGAGAGATTACAATTATTTTAATTTTTTCAGAAACTTATAAAACTTTTTCACCATTGTTGCTCTTCAGCGTCCACTTATTTAAAAATCACATATTCACAAATATCTTGGAAATTAATATTATTTAAACTAGATTGAAATTATAAACTGTTTCAAAAATCGTTTTGGTGCTTGATATTTAAAAAAAAAAAATTCTTTCACTTGGATTGAAAGAAAGACCTCGTTCTTTTTCATGACAATTTTTTATTGGCATTTCATTGGACTTTTTTTCGCTGTCTTTCCCACTAAGGAATAAACTTGCCATCACTGCTTGCTTGTAGATTAGGGAAAGCAGAAGGGAATTCAACGGATAGATACTTTCAAGATATTGAAGCAGTTAATAAATCTCAAATCTTCAATTATTTTTTCAAAGATCATCTTCTATTATTGAAAATAACTTTCCACACATTTCATTTGAATTATCATAACTTATGGAAAGGACACAACTTCACTTTTTTTATACACATTGTCTGATAATTAATTAATAAGTAGCAGTATTAAATACAAATAAAAACATACTCTTTTTTTTATTTGAAATATAAACATTTTATAAAAATATGTTAAATCAACAAAATATTTTTCTATAAACAAATTTTTATGATAGAGATTCTATGATCTCATAAACAGCATTAGGAGTTGGCTTAACTGCAATCTTATAAGGAGTCAAAGATGCTTCAATCAATGCTTTTTCAGTGCTTGGGCCAATTGCAATTATCTGGGGGGAAAAAAGAGATATAATACGTATATAAATGAAAATTCATCAAGTGTTTTATAACTATTATAAATGTTTAATTATATTTTTAAAATACAAGTCAAATTTCATTGAGACACATTCATTTAATAAGAAATTTAGGTGTATCTAATTTTTTTGTCGGCTGTAATTGGTAAAAAAGGAAAAACTGAAGGTAAATTTTTTTCTACTAGGGTACCAATCTGTATACCTTTTCCATAGCTATAAATATACTTTTCGGCAGAAAAGTGAAAAATTGATCGTTATTCTATAAGTTACATCAATTCAAAAAACTAAAATAAGCTTTACGAAAAATCACATGAAACATGTAGCAGAATTTTCCTACCAAAAACTGTTTTTCCATTGATTTATAATTAAAAAAAACTTGTTTTTTTATGAATGAAAACTAACAGGTTGAATCTTGGACTCCATAGTATATGGAATAATTACATTTAATAGCATAAAGAATAATAATCAGATTTTTGAAGAAAAAAAATATAATGATGATACTTTAGATTGAATAATTAAAGAATTTACAGTGTGACTATTTAGAAAAATACAGTACAAGTTTAATACTTATGTTTTATCAATATTCTGTCAATAAAAGAATGCTAACATTCATTATAGAAAAGACAAAACAAAAAAAGTACATAGTAACATGTATATTTTCAACAATGCACAAAATTATCAATTTATTCTTGTAAAATATTCCAATTTAATACATATATTTCCAGTTAAGAATATTTAAAAATATTTTTAACGCTATCTCTGTGAATTTTTATGCTTGTTTCTGGTTCTCTCTGGATTTAATTTAAAGAGTACTGACTATAATGAATACAATGTAATTTGCAAAAAATCAAACACATAATTTCAGTCTTATTTTATTTTGAAACAGCATTGACAAAGCTTAAATCACTGGATTTCTATCATGATGGCAATTCAAATCACTTGATTTTTGAAGAAGAAAAAAAGCATTGATTTAATTAATTTTTTCATAAAAAAAGCCATTAATTAAAGTAAAAAATTTTCTGGAAAATTTATAACATTATTTCTAAGGTAGTGATTTTTTTAAAAATCAGATTTCATTGATATTAGAGGTTTTATCTAGAAAAATAATGATTTTACCTTATGTCCTTTCTATGTAACGTAAGTAACATTTTATATTTTTATAAAAACAAAACACCTATAGGAGACTTTTACGCATCGGCAGCAACTTTAGGCGATTAAAAAACATCCCATAGAATTTTATGTAAAAAAATTATTAAATATTTATCGATGAAGAAAAGTTTAAAAAAAAATGAAAACCTGTCAAAATGTAACATCAGTCACCATGGAATTTCCCATTATAGCTATTTTCAAGCAATGATAAGTTATTTACAAGCGAATTAAAACATAATCCACAAACTGAAAAATAAATGTAAACAAAAAGAAAACGCAATACATCATAAATCTAAAAACAAAAATCCTCAAAATATAAAGGGAAAAAAACTAAGAAATTAAATCATCACTTAAATTACACGAACTTCTGAAAGTACAAATGGTAACTTCACTTTTTTAATAAAAACTTAGTAGTTTTGATAGGTCTAGCATTTTTCATTTTTTTTTCTAGGGAAAGAAATTTGAAAAATATCCAAATAGTTCATTTAAAATCGCGTGTTAATGGAAATTATATGTTTAATAAAAAAAAAAGGAAACAGAAACATCAGAACAAATAAGGACAGAATATTTTCTATCAGTAATATCAAGAAACAACTACAAAACCTGAATAGCGTTCAGAAAGGTGCGATTCCTTTTTAGTGCTAAGTGCAAACAAAGAATTAAGACACTTGAAGTACTTAATTTCAAAACTAGTATAGTTTAGGAAATCTTGTCTGTGTGCCTTTAACATTGTTTATCACATAAAAAATTTTGAACTTATTTTTCAAAAAACATTTTATACATTTTTATTCACATTCTGCAATAAAAGATTTTTTCCTTATTTAAAACACCTTTGCAATAAAGGAATTGATTTTTAAAAAGTAAACTTTTACTAACAGTAAAAATTATAAATGTCTCAAAAAATTATTTTAAATTTCATTTTAATAATTTATTTCTCTTAATAACTCACTTTAGGCAAGGATGTACCAAAATAACTTTCCTTGATTAATTTATGACAATATTGTACACCAGAAGGACTAAAGAAAACTAGAATATTGGGAAGACCCTGAAATTGAAACAATTTAGTGAAAATTAAATAAAATTTTCACAATAACGACAAAATTAAACATTTATATTCTATAAAAAATATACTAAATAGTCAAATCATTTTAACACAAAAGAATCTGTAAAAATTTTATTGTTTGAATGAAAAAGAATCCACTGTTGTAAAATAAATTGATGATGAGTACTAAAACGTTTAGCAAAAACTGACTTTTGAAACTTACTTAAACTGTGGCATTAATGTTTTTGTTAAAAAGAACTTTAATTGAATGTGAAACATGCGATTCTTTCAGATGTTGTATTTTTTATGCTACTTGAGTAAGGAGAATTAATTTTAGAAATTTTTTGAACAAATATTGGCAATTAGATTATTAAAATCTTAAGGTGCAAAAATCTTTTTTCAGTTAGTAAATTTACTCTCCACAAATTAGTCTTAATTATTTTTTAATTCAAAGACATTTCGTTTTTATTCTATATATTTCCCTTTTTCTTTCTTGCAATTTTATACCTTCATAGAAGAAGGTGAACAAATTTCATACAGCTTTGTCTATAAATGATTCCTTTGGTCATTTTACTGTAAACAGAAATTCATAGGATTATTCAAAAACACTAATTATTCATTATTCATAAAGTGTATTAAAAAAATCAAGTTTTTAAAATTACCTTTTTAATTTGTTCAAATCTGAAAATTTATCTTCGATTCGTTAAAAGAGCTTGATGGACACCATTTTTCTAAGTAGTTGTTAACATTATTATGACATTTCTCTTGGAAGAAAACCAACTCATAAACCTTTTCCAAAAAATAGTTGCCAACAGCAAAATTGTAGTGCAGAAGCAGATCCATATTATTTAATAATATTTTTCTTAAAAATCACTGAAGTCAAATCAGGGGAATTCCATACTTCAACACTTTATAAATACATTTTTTTATCATGGTTAAATTTGAACTGCATCATTCACAAGATTAATTTTCTCTTCTAAGATTAAGAGTTTTTAACATTCCCTCAAAAATCTTAAATGATAAACTCTTCTTCCACACAAACTATAGCAGCAAATGATAAGCATATCATAAAAGCAGTCCAGAACTTGATGCATTTTAAATGAATAAGATAATTTTGAATGCAAACATTTACTTTGAATGACGGACGGAATTTTGTTTTTAATGTAAATTTGTAAATTTTTCTCCTTTTGTTTTCTACTTACAACTGTAAGCCTCATGCTATACTTTGTGGTGCATGAGGAGTTTTAAGTCGTTTAAATTAAAAAAAAAAACACATTTTCTTTTTTCGATATTTTAATTCCAAAATAATGCTGTCTGTTATTGATGCTCATGATTCAAACAATGTGGTCTGGAAATACAGACAAAAGAAAACAATCTTACTTCTTGAATTTTTCTCTTTTCTTCTCAACTTAATTTGAACATTGCAAGAGAAAGGACAAAAAACTGTTATTACCCTTTTTTTTATAAACATATTTTCAGCTATCAAAAGTAGATCATATCTGCCAACGCTCCAGCTTTTTCAGAAGGATTTTATTTCTACATTTAAAGTGGTCACAAAATTTACGCAATGAAATATTTATTCTTTATTTAATAAACTTAATTTAAAATAACTTTTATTATCATTAAATATAAATAATTTAAAAATATTGATGGCTTAGTATTCATTTAATTTATCTTTTTCAGTGCTGTTGAAATTCAAATACTACTTAAATTTGTAATAATAATAATACAATTATACTGATATTCGTGAATTATCTCAATCAATAAGGTTAATATTGATAGATAATTCACAACTATCAGTATAATTGTAATTTCACTACTGATAAGAAATCATCTTTCAAAAAGTACAAATGTTGGTTTTATTAAAAAAACAACAAGTGATTAAGATTAAATTTACAAGAAATTAAAAATAAAATGGTTGAGATGTCAAAAAATTGAATTACAGTTTTAACCATGTTATTGCACATCAAATTTAAGAATGAAAATTCTGTTGTTTTATATTAACAATAAATTCTATCATACTCTTAGTTTGCATAAAGCAAATGTTGAATAGAAAGATCATAGAATTAAAATAATATTTCATTGCAAATAATTAAAATTTTGTATTAGCGGGAAAAAAAAATTCAAAATATACTTACTTGTTCAATAACTAATTTTTCCCAATGGCTTTTAAGAGAGGGATTACAAATGGTTTCATAACTTACAACTTCAATAATTTTGAACCCTAAAGAAATAAAAATGAAAATACACAATTTTATTTCTGCAAGAAAATAAATCAAACTACAAAAATAAACCATTCAATAACAAACATTATTAATTTATGTATGTATTAGAAGAAAGAATTTGGTTGAAAATTAATATGTAAAACAGACCAGCAATGATTTAAAACTGAACTGCCAGTCACATTTAATAAGTCACATTATTTATTTGCTGCTACTTAAAAAAAGAGCAATATCAAATGACATTTACTAATTTGTTCTCTTTCTTATATCAGCATATTTATTAGCAATATTATTATATGATTGATATGAGTTGCAAAGAGGCTAAGTCACTGTAATTCAGATAGATGGGTACCAGGCTGTCTTGGAAGTAAAGATATCTGATGCCCAACGTTCAACGTGAGTGGTGTCTTAACCTGTATGTACCATGTGGCCCACAATGGGCTATTACAAGAATGTTTTATTTAAATTAAGTATTAGAAATTTTAACATTAAAAGAAAGATTTATTGTTTCTGTATAAAACATTCTACCATCAAAAAAAAGAAAATTTTTTAACTTACTTTCCCCCAAGAATTTTTATTTTGAAATGCATTTATAAGTTCAAATTTTCCACATGTAAGTTTTAAAACAAATTACATTAGTAGAAAAACTTTTCTAAAAATCGCATAATATTTTCGAAGTCAAGTAACTTGACATTGCATATTTTTCAGAATTAACGGCTGACAACTTTTAAAAAAAATTTATTTTTTAAGAAAACTTTAAAAAAATTTATTGTTGGTATCATGATCTAAATACGAATCAAGGTCATATACTGATCAAGGCACCAGTTGTGCGGATTTTGATATCTGGGATTCAAAATGATTATATACAAGTAATTATTTAGGAACTGTATCAAGGTATATGATAAATGCACAAATTATGCGATTGAATAAATATGGATTGCATCTGAATTTGTGTTTATTTTATTTATACATATGCAATGCATGCTAATTCAATTGCATAATTTGTGCATTTATTACATACCTTGATACAGTTCTTTGATAATTACACACACATAATCACTTTGAATCCCAAACATCAAAAACAGCACAGCATATATTTGAATAATAGCGACCAACAAATTTGTACATACTTTTCAAAAAAAGCGAGTGACAATTTTTTTAGGTAGTACTATTCTAAATCAATTTTTTCTTCATTACTATTTCAGAAATGACCTGACAATACACATTTTTCAAAATAGAGACCAACAGATTTGTATACAGGGTGTACAAGAAAATAAAGGAAATGGTGAAAAATCTTGAAAAATACACAAAAGATCAATAATATACATTGTATCAAAAATTTAGTATTACAAATTGGATTCAAAATCTAATAAAACACATTCAATCAAAATGAAATGTTTTCAAAAGATAGATTTAATGATTTCAAATTTGACCCTGCAACCTCAAGTCTTGGGGATAGAACAACTGACAGCGGGTAAAGTTTAAGTTTGGTATCATTAATACTTCTCACAAAAACCCTTATTTGTAATTAGCCAGCAAACTATAAACTAAAATAAAACAACCAGTAAATAAAATTGAAACAGTTTCTTCTGGAAAGATGGAATATTCGTAAAAAAATGGGGGCTATTATTTAAAATTTTGAAGTTGCCCCACCTCAGTAATTTGTTAAGGTCGAGCTTGGTTTCATTGAATACAGCTTTTGAAAATATTTCATACTTGTATTTAAACTGATGTGTAACTTTCCTGATATTTAACTACCTGCATACCATTTAAACACCCAAGAGATTTTTCTAACATAAACATAAAACAAACAAGCCTTAAATGCAACTCCAAATTTTAGAAGACACAAATCTCTATACATTGAATTTTAAATAAATGAAAAACAAAATAAAGTACCATTTTCTTGTAAAAATGTGGGAACAGTTTCTCTTCTTTTATTGCTGCATGGAAAGAGAAATGATTTGCAGCACCCATCTGGATCTAAACACGAAATAAATAAAAAATTCTGTAACTTCTAGGTTACAAATTAAAATAAATTGATTTTGCAAAAAAAAAATAAATAAATAAAGGGGGACAAGGAGAAGAAAAAAAGGGACAAGAGTACGTAACTTGCAATCAAAAAACATTTAAGGCATGTTACAAGCGAAATTCGATAGTAAAAATATGCAGTAATAAAACTTTTAGAGATTTCAAAGCACTCACGAACATAAAATGTAGCTCCATAGTCATTACTGAAGAAATAACTACAAAAAATTCCTTGATTTTAATTAACTGAATAACATCTTTTAATTTAAATTTATTTCTCTTAATTTTAATTATAATTTTATAAATAAATTTAAGTTTGAACTATTATTCATTATTTGATGCTTAGAGTTAATAGCAGTAGAAGACAAGATGAGATTAACACATTTGCTCCTGTCAGTAGAACAAAAGTTGCTTCATATACAGGGTCTGTGCTAAGTATTCCCCACCTAGCCAAATGCTTTAAAATTTTGCAAAATAAATTGTGTTTTGGTGAGAGATTTCTTCTGTTTGAAAAGAAAAATACATATTCTCCTTGATCTTGAAAATTACATGAATATGAATTTTTCCAAACAAATCTTGTTTATATAATTCGATTTGATTACAGAAATTTCGCTTTGATATGTGCCATAACTAATTAGAATTATGTTAAGTCCAGATAATATAAGCAACAAAAAAGTAACGAGGAAAAAAAACTTAAAATACAGACAAGCAGGTTTGTTGACACATAACGCAATATAGCATGACGAAACTCTTGCCTTTGGCTAAGACTTTTGAAAATTTGGCCAACACTTTGATATTTGGCTCATTTAATGGCGAGTAATCTGAAGTCCTTAGTGCAGGCCCTGCTTATAGCAACAGAAAAAATGGTTAGTGACTTAATAATACAGTTGTGAAAAATGGTAAGAGACATGAAGAATTTTGAAATTTGAGAATGTCACTATGGAATTTTAACATCCTCACTCAGATTTCTAAATAAGGTAATATTATGCAGGTAATTAGTTTAAAAATTGATTAAAATGCCAGTTAACATAACACTTTTTTAGCTTTTCAAATAAAAATAAATGACAAATAAGCATAATTTCAACATACAAGAGGATAAAATAAAATTGCAAAGCTGTTCAGCATTTCCAGATTCTTCTCCTAAAGAGGTAAATTTCAGCAGTGTTCCTAAATAATTCAGAAGAAATTATTTATTTGAAAAAAAGAAAAACATTTAAATGGAACTCTAGCTATTTTCTAAATAAAGTAGATTAGAATTTATATAATAAATAGAACATATGCATGAAAGTGCAAAAATTCAATTGGCTTTGACTTTGATTATTTGCCTTTAATGTGCAATATATATTAACTTTTTAAATTAATTCAAAAATAGTTTTAAAAAAGTAATGTAGATTGCTCATTAGTTTCCAAAACCTATTCTTATTTTACTTATCTTGGATACTTAATACACTAAAATGCAAACAAATAAATAAATAAACATACACACTTAATACATTTTACTTTATAACAATAATTTTGTTAAATAAAACAAAAAAAATATATAAAGAAATCAAAGTTTTTTCTTTTTTTAAATATCCAAAATGAAACAAATACTCCTCAAGAGATTTAATAAACAAAATGATAATAATCATTAATTACTAACAATAGAAAAAATATTAAATTTGTTTATAAGGTAATTAATATAATATGCTTATTTCAGATTAATAAGTTTTTTTAAAAACTAAATTAAGCATGAAGACTAATAAATAAAGATATTAATTAACTTCAATTTCAAGAGCTTGGATTTAATGTACATTTTATTTTCATCATAGTTTGTCAGACAGCCCAATATGGGCCAATGCCTTCTTCTGAAGATTTCGCCATAACGACTTTCAATTTATCTTTGATCTCCAATTCTTTTCATTGATTGCAAGAAAATAGGACTCCACCAAATCAGCCCATCTTAACAGCAGCCTTCCCATCTTTCTTGTTGCAGTGTTTCTAAAAAAGCAATATTTTTTTTACTGTATTGTCATCACTCATTCGAATTACATGGGCCATCCAATTAATTCGATTTTATTTTTATGTATTATAAATCTTTTACAGTTCAAAGTTAAATTTCCTTCTCCAGTTATTGCTTTTATTTACACCATCAAGTATACTCTGCAAAATCTTTCTCTAAAATTTTGCGATACAATTTTCCTCCAGTTTTGTCATTGTTCAAGCTTCTGAAGCATATATCAAGGCCGCCCTGACAAGAGTTTTGTAAATTAAGAGCTTTGTTTTTCCAGAAAGAAACCTAGATTTAATAAATCTTCTCAGCCCATTTGCTATTTCAGAAGACATTCTGTTATCAACAGTAGTAATTGATAGTAATAACCACTGATTAGTAATAACCTATGGTATTGATGTTTGAATCATGAATAACTCTCTCAAGTGCAATATTAAAAGTAGACAGGGACAGAATCTCCCTGTCGAACACCTTTAAATGTGTCAAGATTTTCTGAAAGCGACCCCAGAAACCTAATCTTACACTTTGTATCTTTCAATGCAAGTCTTGTCAGTTTAATGAGTTTTAAAGGTTTTTTAAAATCATTCATCGTTTCAAAAAGATAATTTATATTGGTATTATCAAAAGCAGCCTTGAAATTCATAAAAAGAAGATGTGTTTCAATGTTAAATTCCATTGACTTCACCAAAATCTGACGAAGACAAAATATCTGATCTATAGTTGATCTTCCAGCATGGAATCCACATTGATATTTTCCTATTTGTGAGTCAATGAATGGTAACAGCCTGAGAAATAAAATTCTAAATAGAATTTTATAAGTTATACAAATCAGATTAATGCCACGATAGTTGGCACAGGTCATAGGATCGCCTTTATTGTGAATTGGACACAAAATGCTAATATTCCAATCCATTGGCATAATCTCAAAGTACCTGATGTCACTAATAAGTTCAGATAAATTCTTCAGTAAAGGTTCACAATTTTTTAGCAGTTCTGCTGAAATAATATCATGTCCAGAAGCCATCTTAGTCTTTAAGTTTTTTAATGCAGCCCTGATCTCCTCCTGCGTTGGAGCCTCAACTTCTATGTGATTGCTGGATACAGGCGCAATTATTTCAATATCCTCACAATTTTCATGAAGAAGTTCGTTAAAATGTTCATGTCATCGTTTCTAAATGTCCTTTCCATCAGTAATAATTTCACCAAATTTGTTTCGGCATAGACTAGAAGTCTGTTTAAAGTATAATCAATTGGATTTCAGATGTTCAACATCCTAAAACAATTCTTCAAAGACCTTTTTCCTTTGGCGTAAGAGTTTCTTCACCTCTTTTCTGAGTCTATGATACTCTTCTGTTCTATTTCTTGTGTGTGCTTGTATCATATGTTTATATGCAACATTCTTTTTATCATTAGTAAAAGCACAATCAACATCATACCAATCCTTAACCTGTTTCTGAGTTACTTTCCACAGTACAATTCAGTAAACTCAACTGTTCCTTTACTATTTCGCACTATTCAAGTCTTATCCTATCCTTTCATTTTTAAGTTTATTAACAGTCATATTCTCTCAGCGTCTCTCCCTTGAACTTTTTTGCATTAGATAATCTTGATCAGACTTTAGCTATTACGTATCAAGAACTGATCCTTATCCACATTAGCCCCATGACAAGTTCTCACGCTCATCAAGTCTGAGTAATGTCATGTGTCAATTAGTATATGATCAATTTGATTAGCATAAGTGCCAAATGGGGCACACCAGGAAGCTTTATGAATATTTTTATGTGAAAAAGACGTGCTTCCTATAATCATATTACGTGAAGTGGCAAAATCAATTAATTTGCATCCATTATCATTGGTTGGATCATGTAAATCAAATCCTCCAGTTACAAATTTAAATTCCCTTTCTCTACCTACTTTAGCTTTGAGATCCCCCAAAATAATTTTTGCATCATATTTTAAACAAGTGTAGTAACTTTTGTCCAAATTTTCATACTATGTAAACAACACAGAATATAACAAGATTTATAGGAAAAAGTCTTGGATGAATATGTGATCACTAAAATTGTTATTACAAAGAAATTTTTTTCTTATGAAATATGTAGTCTACAAATATTTTCCTCAAGTTCATAATAAAAGAGCCTATTATCTCAAACTAAAACTGAATAAAAAATATAGCCAAACAATACAGTAAAATGAAAAATATAACATTAATGGAAAAAACTTCGAAATACATTAATATGCTTGTTTAAACTGTTTTAAGTATTTCAGTATAACAATTTTTTTGCTCTAAATTAAAAAATATTATAATTGTAACTTGAAAAGCATATCATTGTCCAAAATTTGGAAGTGAGAAAACACTATGAAGTCAGACGTTCATATTTAAAAAAATAACATACACTAAAGGATAAAAATTCTTTATGATTATTTTTGCTAAAATTGTATTTAATTTACTATCGTAATAAATCTCTTTGTTTTCTCATTCTCAAATAAAAAATAACAAATCAAGTTAAAGTACTTATCAGTTTTGAATATATTAATGAGAAAAGAAATAGAACAAACAAAACATTAATTTAAAGAGATAATTTTTAAAACAATAACATCAATAGGCTAGTTTGTCCTTACAACATACTTGCTAAATTTGCTGTAGATTCACCTACACAAAAATTCTTCTTGCTTCTCCATTTCGGAAGTAAGTTGTCTAAGAAATAAATGTAAAAAAAATCTGGGGTTATTTATGAAATTAGGGTCTGATAACAGGTTCTTTACAAATTATTTTATTGCAAAAACAGAGCCATAACAAATTATTTTATCATAAAAATGAACATTTCACATTATTTTTCTACTTAAAAATATATGATTTGCAAATTTCAATTCTTCTTTCGAAAAATGGAGTCAATAACGTTAACAAAATAACTTTGGAAAATATGATTTCTGTGGTTCCCCTCCCCCTGAAAAATGCACTGGTTCAACACGCTCACTGTGCATTTCTGGCAAAATAAGAATTTATGCCCATTATGCAAAAACTATAAAGGAAATATTAAAGGTAAGAATGATTTCTCTAAATCTTGTAGAAATAGGAAGCTAATAAATAATAATAATAAAGTATTAATTTAATGGGCAGATATATTTCATTTTCTATTAATATACTGCAAATATACTATTTTAAGACAAATAGGATTTTATTTGAAACATATTAAATCTAATTAAATACAGAGTGTTCCAGAATAACTTCTTTTAATATGTATATTTAACTAATAAAATTAAAGAGAAAAAAAAAACGTTAGCAAAATCTGATGAATCAGTATCAAAGACAATCACCATATAGGTAAACTTAATATCTTTGTAATCTGCTGATTTATTTTATAAAACCCAAAGGCATTTCCAATCTGACTAAGGAACTGACTTTGATGATCATAATTTTAACATAATTTTCAGTCTTGTTATTCCAATTTTACATTTGCTAAGAACAACTTTGATTAGTGATTCATCAGATTTTGATACGATTCATATTTTTTATTCTCAGTTAAAAGATTACATGGGTCTTAAAACTTAAAAAAAAAATTTATTTATTTATTTATTCAATACTATATATTAAGAATATTTTTTTAATGACTTTTTTTAATAGGAATAACTTCTGAAGAGAAAGCGTTTGGAAACTTTTTTCATTACATTTGACCATCCGTGCACTAAAATAGAAATTTTTTTTCTCAAAGCTCCATTTTTGAAATTGGTAAACACGATCTAATTAAAAAAAAAATTTCCATTTTCTCTAGATAGAATCGACTTATTATTGGACACATGTGTTTTTTTAAAAAATTCTTTGTGTTCAATTTTTTTCACAAGATAGTAAATAGTCTAAATTATACCAAAAGTCAGTTTTTATTTTTTCATTTTTTACATACAATTCTGCTAAATACTTATATTTAATTTATTATTTGTCTTTTTTTAAAAAATTTTTTTGCATAATCTAGTCAATTCTATACAGAAAAAGTATGCAAAATTCCAATAAGATAGGTGCATTTGTTCTTGAAAAGTTATGTCCCAGCAAGGATGTATTTTTCTTTGCTGCGAATCAAGGGGTCACACAAAATCAGTTTTCAAAGGCTACATTTACAAAATCCTAGAATAAAATTTTATAAAATATTGTTAAAATTTTGTTTTTTCACATACTTAGAATGTGAATGGAATACTTCGTTTGTTACATAAAAAATAAATTAAGGAAAAGTTTGGTATTTTTGCCCTGTAATACCCAATAATGTTTAAATGTAAAAAAAATTTAAAAAACCTGACAGTAAAGAGAACAATCATAACATAGGTGACATCAAAATTATTGAATGGAGCACATTTATTAAATATCTAGGTTAATTTCAACCTTATTCAAAAAATAAATAACTTTATTCGCCACAGTAAAGTATAAAATTAAAAGAAAACTAGAAAATTAATGCTCATATCATACTGCTTACTGTCATTTTACTTTTGTCTTTTTCCATATACCTCAGAAACTAATTGAGTGAAACAGGCTTTTTGAATAAAATGATAATACTCATTTACCTAAGGATAGTTTCATTAAAACAGTTTTTAAAATTAATTTCTTTATTATTAAATTTATTAATACCAGAAATTCAAATAAAACTATTTTATGAAGTAAAATATGCATCTTTAACTCCAACACTTAAAAATTTTAACAAAATAGAATGGTTTGTAAAATATGAAAGTATAAGAAGTTGTAATTTTAAATTTCCCTTTTTTGAGAACTTCTTTACTAATCTTTTTCAAATTTTGGATTTTGGGGTTAATATGATATAAACATTTTTGAATCTTAAAAAAAAAAGTTGTTCAATGGTGATTAACTACATTAAAAAATATCAATAAGATTACTTTATGGTTACTATTTCTCAGTCAATTGATATTAATACTCAGCTAATACTATCTCTCATTGAAGTTGATATTATTATTCAGCTAATACTATTTCCACTTTAATACCATATCATAAACAATTTGATAAGAAATACTAAATTGTGTAAGTTATTTTTGTATACCTAGTTAAAGCCAGCCCTGCAACTCATCACTGCAAAAATGGGATCTTAATTTCACATATTCACAAATATAGCAACCTGGCTGAAAGAGCTTTATTTTGCAATTATTTTAGATTAATGCACAACAAGCCACATGATCTTAAAAAAAAGGCAGAAGATATCATCAGTTTTTGTGATTTTTCAAAAAAAATCAGAGCCTTATTTTTATAAATTTACTAAATTATAAGTAGACTTTTCACAGAAAACAGATCTTTTATAAAAAGATCGGAAAATATTTTCATGCATTTTTCAATAAACATTAATATTTGTTAGAATTAAATAACATATACATGTGAATCTTGCTAATACAGGTTAATAAAATATAAAATAATAATTATGAAAAAATAGCAATTGTTAAAAATACTGAATTTTGAAAGAAAAACTAAATCAACAATTCTTACCACACTTGTGAGTATAAATATTATATCAAAATTTGAAATATAACTTTCAGTATGTACTTCATTTTCATCAAACAAAGGAGATATCACTGAGTTATCTTATTATTTAATTCAGTTAGAAAATTATCAATTAAAAATTTTTTTTTTTAATAATGATCTATTTTATTGAGAATGTCTGTAAATCTATTTTGCTACTGTTACTTAAAATGTATTGATAAAAATAAAATGACTACAATAAATGTTTACAATATGCATCTAATGTTTTTTTTTTGCCATTATAAATGAGGAAATAACATAAATAAAATTTAATAAATCAAGTTAATAATTTTAGGCTATAATAAGTCAACATAGCATTATAGTATAAGAATTTGGCAATTGATATTATTAATGTTTGTTTCGATTGTAGTTAAAATACAATATTTTAATGCACATTTCTAATATCCTTCCAGATTGAAATGAATCAATTTTGGATAAATATGGTGAAGAATGAAATGTTGGAAACTTTAATTTCTAATTTTTTTCGAAAATCAAAATATTGTCAGGAGTCTGTCCAGGCCGAATTTACTACCATTAAGAGGTACCTTCACAAATTCAATTTTAGGAAAAACGGTAGTTTCACAAATTTAACTTTAGGAAAAACAATAGTTTCACAAAATACTTTTTCTTAAAATTTTATTTTTGTATCCTTAAGAAACGATAAATTTATATTTTTATTATGTTTTTGTGTTGATTTTTTAATATAATTTTTAAATTTTTCTCAAATTATGTCTAAATTTTCACAAAATAGGTACCTCTCAGAAAAACCTAGACAGACCCCTGATTGTGTTATCTCTGAAAACACATACCAGCACATAATTTTAGAGTTCTAAGAGTAAAGGTAGTCTGCACAAAAAAAAAAAAAAAAAAAAAAAAAAAAAAAAAAAAAAAAAAAAAAAAAAAAAATAGATTGGAAGATACAATTAAGAAAAAATCAATTAAATAGAATGAAATCAATTACATAAAATATCTCACCTGATGAACCAGATATAGATTTATTGACAGCTTCAACAGTTCTAGGACTAGTAAATATTATACCTTCAAAAATATCAGGCTGTGATAGATGTTCCTGAAGAATTTCACTATTTATAAAACTAAATGCCAAAGTAGGAATCAAAGTAGCCTTATGGCCTTTTTTTCGGAGAATCTAAAATAATCAAACACAACAATAACTTTTCCGTACTTTAATTTTTATTTATTTGAAAATTCTTTGTACATTTAAAATTTAGGAAAAGCTTTTTGCTTGATTGTTATTTATTGGTTTAGTTAAGCTTATTTTCAAATTTATTTTATAAAATCTATAAAATCACTGGATAAAAGAATGTGTAACAAATTATTTTTTTAAATAAAACAATAAAATTTTAAGAACTGGTAAAATTTTTTTTTTTTTAACTAAGCTGTGTTTGGCAAGAACATAAAACAGTAATTAATAGAATAAAGAATTTGCACAATTTTTAATTTTAATGAATTTAAAAAAACTAAACTAATTTGTGCTGCCATGTAGAGTACAAAAAAAAAAACTTGAATATGATTAGAAAAAGTGGCAAAATGCAAATATAACATAATAAACAAAATAATTTATAATAAGGTCACTAGCTTTTTTTCTTCTTTTTTAAAACTTTAATAAGTAAATAATAAGTCTTAATAATAATAAATAATAAGTCTTTTCAAACAACATACCATCTTTGGACACCAAATATAATATGCTGTTTTTAAGACAGACATTTTTTGATGGATATATAAGAATATTTCAAATGGTTCAACTCAAATTAAACTATAAAAGAATTCTAATGTTTCATAGAAAGAGTTATTAAAATGTTTAAACAAAGAAAGCAAGATTGATAGATTTAGTGCCAATGAAAAGTAGTTTATAAAGATAGCAATTGCACCTTTATAACCTAATGCTACAGAGTTTCATGCTGATTTCCTTTTAATGGTCAATACACAATTTTCATTAGTAAAATAAATTAACTTATATTTCACTATCTGATTTACTTAAAATCACAACCAACTAGGATAAGAATCTTTTAAGTCATATCACTGTTTCTTCATTAAAAGTAAACTCAAGATGTTTCACATTTAATATAATTAACCTCATCTATATTATATAAAACGCTAATACGTACGTATGTATGTATGCATCAATAAAAACCAATGATATTTCTTTTCTCGCGCTGGCAACAGTTTTCCTTTTTAATTGATTGGATTCGGCGCGCAAGAGCACGTAGTGAGCAACCAGATAACAATAACCAGAGTGAGCATTATCAGGTTGTTCAATTCAGATTCATGCACTAAAAACATGACAATATTTAATTTAAACTCAATTAGGAATTAATTAATTAATTGAAGTGAGAATGCTTTAAAAGGCCGCTGTTGAATTGATATTTTTCTACTGGGAGCTACCTAAACGTCTAAAAAACGTTTAAGTGTTTGTATTGAATGCATTGAATTTTTTTATATTTCGCGTTTATTTATGCATTGAATTTTCACGCTTTAAAATGCAGAATATTAGTGAAGCAATATTTGATAATTTATTTTGCTAATATGTTTCTTATTTAGCTAATGTTTTGATTTTTTCACCATGTACAATCTAAATAGCTAATATACTTTTTTAAAAGCCAATAAGAACATTGGTAGAATTCTTCTACATAAGTACAATACTATGTCTTTGATGATAAAATACTATGTCTTTGATGATAATATATTATGTCTTTGTGCTAGAACATTGTGTTCATTGGCGAGCGAGCGCAGCGAGCCATGGTTCACGGTGTGAACCACATAGGATTGCGTAGCAATTCTCGGGGGTTGGCGAGCATTAGCGAGCAGGGGGCCGAGCCTCCTAGTTCAATATAATTAACATCAAAAGAAATAATGGTTAAAATAATTTCATTGAACCTTTTGCAAAATCAAATGATTAAATTGACCCTACATAGGAATAATTGGCTCAGTATAGTTTATGTAACAGTGAAGTTTATGAAACAGTCATTAAAATAGAGGGTTAATGTAATGATGTCGTTCTTGAGCATGAGCTGGTTTTATCCAGGAAAAGTAATTTTTTAAACTTTTTTAATAGATGACAGAGTTCTAACAATGTTCTCAAATTTAGAAGTATTTATATAATAAACTAAACTTATTTTCAGAATCACATAGTTTTTGTTCATAAACTTGATCTTGAAACAAAAGAATTTAAAAAGCTTATTTGCCTTAGCTGGAAGGCAAATTGGGATTTAATTTTATACAATATAAAGTAACTATTTTTAGTTTAGTAAATTTAAACTTTTATGTATACCTGAGAAATAAGTTTTAGTTTCATTTATTTTAAAGCATTTATAATGAAGGATATGGATAGGATTTTCCAAACAATTTTTTCTGACTTATTATTTATACTTTCTTCTGAAAGAGATCTAAAATTATAAATATTCCGAGAATGGCATATATTAAGTTGTTTCATATGTTAAGTAAGTAAATTATTTATATGATTATATGATAATTCTTTGCATGATAATTCTGGAAATGTTAAAAAGCCTATCACTTAGCTGATTTTTAAACTTGGAAAAATAAAAAAGTACTTGCGTATTATCTCATCGACCAGTTTCGCCAACATTCCGGTATCTCACAAATTAATTTTTACATAGTAATTATTTATAAACACCACAATGGAGATTTCCGCATCATGATCTGTGGTAGAATAATCGCCAAGACTTGGCAACTTTGGGGCAGCGGCCGGCGAGAAACTAAAAAAAAAGTCACAGAAAAGGTCAAACTCAAAAAGTTTAACTCATTGCCCCCCCCCTCCCGGCAAAACATCTATAAGCTTCTCTTTTTTTTTTTAAATTTGCAAGCTTTTAATCTATTTGGCACCTTGGCGATTGTAGTTGGCATGACAGATCACAATACGAAAATATCCCCAACACAATGATCAAATATAACTTATTGAGTGCAAAAAATGAGAAAATATTTAAATTTCCACCACTTCCAAATTTATCTTCCGATTTGGCATAAATGATAGACAGGAAAATAAGTAAGTAACAATTAAAATAATCAAACCAGAACAATTTTCCTTTAAAAATATATGATATTTTTTTCTAGAATTAGTTAAAATAATAAGCAACATACAATGCTGAATTTTTTCCCCTGCCCAATATTACCTCTATATACGGATCAATTTTCTCTGTTTCTGATTCAGCTTTGAAAATAGCTATGTTATTCATTGAGAATATATGTTTCGGAAAAATTTTTTTTATCAAATTTCTAAACAAAACTGATCTGAAGAACTGAAATAAAACTGATTTAAAGAACTTAAACTTTTACAGGTCTTTTCTGTTATACTTTTTAAAATATTATCGTCGAATAAAAACTATTTCATCATAGGTTTTTAATTAGTGAGATTAGCCCAATTTAAAAGCCCTTTTTTTTTTAAGAAAACAAGATTCATGATATTTCAATATATTATTATTCTGAGCAATGGTTATAAATCCTTTTCTTATTATTTCCTTTCAATCTATTAACTTCATAAGTTAACGAAGAGTTCGTAGATGATGAAATTTTAGTCTCCTTATTTGTTTACTAATAAAAAATTTTAGAGTGGATTTTCATAAAAAGATTAGCAAATTTAATTCATGCTTATTTTAGCCCATTGAAAATGAACTTTTGAACATAAAAATAGTAATGAAGTGAAGTAAAGAAATTGAATAAAGTACTTTTGAATCTGGCATCGACTGTTTTTCAGAAAAGTATATAAAGGCTGCCACCTTCGTAATCGGAAGGCTCGTAGCTAGCCAAGTTGTAAGTTAAAGAATGGAATTAAGAAGTGAAAATAAACTTCTATTTGCATTATAATATACTTCAAAATATACATACATATGAGATAAATAACAACAGTTGTAAGTGTTTGTTATTACATCTTATAAATAAAGTGTTATTTTCATAAATTGTGTATTTCTTAATACGCAATACCCTGGTAGCCATTTTGTAACTTATTTAAGTCATATGCTTTTAAGAGGTCTTATTTCTCCAAAAATTTGTAATAAGAGTCATGATCATGATGAAAAGTTGAAACAATATTAGTTAAGGATGTGAAACATATAAATATTCTGAATTTTTTTGTTAATGTCCTAATATCCTTGAACTCAAATGTGAAGTTCGTGTTCTAGATTCTTTTCATCATGATGATATCTATTTGCTGTTCAACTTACACTGTGTTCCTAATAAATTTATATTATTTTGTGCATATTACTAAAGAAAAGTTTTAATTTTTCTTATGAAGCTTTAATATAGTTTTTGACAATTTACAAGCTGGTAAACCAAGCTTTCCCCATGTTTAAAAGAAAATAATTTTTACATGATTTATATGAAATGAAATTGTTTAAAGTTCAAACAGTCAAAAAGCGATAAATTTTTTTGTAATATACAGTAAAGACATTTTTACATCAATTTTAATTAAATTTAAGCCTACCATGCATGCTTTGCATTTATAAGGTCACATTTCTTAGAAGCACTAAATTAATGCTATGGCCAAAATCTATTAAGGCAAATTTTAGAAACTAAGATCTAAAACCATTTTCTCTGCACAGGAATCTGATATATAATGTAGTCAAAGCATGGTTGACTCTATTTTCTATGTTAGATCTTAGCTATAGATTATACTACTTATTAAAAATATGTTTTATAGGGTTTTTATCATCTTTTGAAACAATTCTTTATATTTCTATTTTTGTGAATCTTAATACACAAATTTAAGGCAGTATTGAAGCAAGATCTTAGAACATTGTTAAAACATTAATTCTTTGTCCAAGTTTGGTCTTATGAATTATATTATAATTCTTTTTCTAAAACTGACTTAATATGCAAAAACTATCATGATTATTAATTACAGTGGTATGATTGGAAGTTCGAAACTTCCAATCATACCACTTTCAAAAGTTGCTAATTTAAAAAACAGCTTTGAACTTCAGAATAGGCCACAGTTTTTTTTTTGCTATCATGGTCATGTTATTATTTACTAAACCATATCCTCTGGCTATTTATCCATCCCTCAATTTTATATTGTTTTTTGTGACAATCAATTTAGTTCTTAAAAATATATATGTATGACGAAAATATAAAATATTTAGAATGTATTTCTCTTTTTGTGTTTGTTCTTAAATACGCAGAAGTTGAAAATATTGTAAGTTATACTTTAATTTGAAACTATATACGGGTTTAATTTCTTTTCTTTAATCATTTTAAGTTTCGTAGCTATAATCTCAGTACTCATAATTATTATAATATAATTGGAGGAACTTTCACTATGTAACAAGGTCAATCTGACAGTAATAAAGAAAGAATAAATTTTCAGAATGAAATTTTAGTTTAGTTTTTTACCCAAAAAAAAATTCTCCTTTAGCAAATTATAACTTTTTAGTTAATTCTTCCTGCTCTTTTGTTTTATTTTTCCTCATTCTGTGTTAAAATTGCTATGATGTTACTTTTTTGTTTATTTTTTATTACAAATGTAAGATGATAATAATTAACTGTGAAATTATTCATAGGCAACTCTTACAATAAGATAATATTTAATTATTGATTTAATTTTTCATTTAACACATTGACTACAATGATCTGTGGTAGAATAANAACGTATTCTGCTAAGTACTCCCACCGATATTTTAATAATGTAAGTCTGGTGGTCACAAGAATAATATCTCACTCCGTTTGTTTCCATGGCATCCTGTCTGTTTAGAGGATATTTCTATATCGTAATCTGTCTCGACAAGATGCTAAATAGATTTTAAACTTGAAACTTTTTAAATTAAAAGCATGTAGGTGTTTGCCCGGGGTTGGCTACGAGGTATACCTTTCGAGTTGGTTCCTTTCTGTGATGTTTTTTTTTTTTTTAAGTTTCTCACAAGCCACTGCCCGGAAGTTTCCAAGACTTGGCAATTATTCTACCTCAGATACGGAAATCTCCCCATAGCGGTGAACAAAAAAGCTTTTACGAGGCTTTCAATAATTTATTTACTTCCTGTGAAATATCTTTTCAAATACATGCGATTATCCTTTGCAAATAGTCAAAAACGTCACTCCAATACGAGTGACGCTTCAGTCAATGACATTATTTTAATATTTTGAAAGATTATTAAATTAAATTTTAAAGAAAATCTAATGAAGGATAAAAATTTTACAATTTTTTTAAAATTGTTATCAAGGATAATATATTTAATGGTATATTGTTTTATTTACTTTTTAAATTTGGTTTTTATTGTTCATAAGTTTTTTATCTGTGTTATTGCAGTCAATAAATTACGTTTGAAGCTGGACATTTAAATGATTAGGTACATTGTTTTTTTTTTCTCCCTTCAAGATTTGTGGGTATATTTCTGCTAATAGAATTAAAGGTTATTTCAGTTTATTCTGTAGAAAAGTGAATAAGTTATTTTTTTAGTATATATTTAGATGGTATAGATGTTTTTTTTTTTTTTTTCCATCTCATAAATTTGAAGTATTTTAAAAGAAAATTCTAATTTCTATGCAATCTTATTCCTTCACTCACAACTCTTACCACCTACAAATACAAAAAAGATAATTTCTCACTGAAATACCGATATTTGTTCAATTTTTATTTTTGAAAATTAACACCTCTGTTGTTTCAATTTATTAAGTTAAGTTTTTAGTCTTCAAATGTTTTTTTTTTATTTTTCATTCATTTACTTATCAAAAAAGTTTGGAACTCATAATTCATGTAAATTCCGTAACTCCTAGATATTCAGAATATTTCAGATTGATTATTATTTAGGTTGAAAAAACGTACATGTTTTGATAAAATGGAAAAGAAATTTCAATAAATTAGGTGAAATTCTTCAGTGTATAAAGGGAAACTGAGAAAGCAAATTGGATAAGGGTTAAGTTGACATTGTCATTCCCTCATTTATTAAGAAGTTAGTTTATTTTCTAAAAATGTATTGATAGGTGTTTTAGTTTTAATTATAGAAATAACCTTCAGAACCCAACTTTTAAAATGCTTATTTTCTTAATCCTTCATTGCGAGAGAAAGGCTTACTAAATGTTCTATTTATCACTTATAGGATAACTTAAGAATTAATATTAATTTAATTTATTTACATGATTAAGCTTCAAAACTAACAATGGTTATTTATTTTCTCATTCCTCCACTCTCAGAACATGGCAATTTTGTAATGGATTGATTCTTTTAAAGACCAGTTAAAAAAAATTATATTTTTGTTTGACTTTGTCATTAAAAAGAAAAAAACAGATAAGAACTGACATATACAAAATACAGTTAAGACATATACTTAATGCATTCACTAAAATTATTATTCCCTCTCCTTATTATTCCTTTAATAATAAATATATATATATATATATTAATTTTAGTATTTTTCAATACTGAACGTTACTGCTAAGTTTTTCTTGTCCAATACCTTCCCTTCTCTCCTATCTTATTACGAAATATAAAATATTTCGTACTTTTTTGTCTTGTTGTAATTTTCTGAAATTAGCCTATTTTAAGAGAATGAATCTTGTTTCTATTATCTGAAATTCTCTTACTTTAAGTTAACTTTTTTGAGCCATTCAGCATTTTTCATAGAAACCCAATCCTCTGCCTCTTTCCTTGTGTATTTAGAAAGTCTTTTTCCATTGTATTTCAGATTCAGCATATTAGCCAAAAATTGAAAAGGATTAAAATCTTGAATGCACCTCTTTTTAATAATTTTTTCATGAAGACTTAGATTTTTATCGTCTGGTTGGTTTGGATTCTAGTTTTTGTTACTTTTCTAATTAAGAGTTTTGTGTAACTGATAAGTAGTAATTAAAGGCTATCTAATTGTTTGCATGCTGATAATGGTCAAACCTAAATTGTAAAAAATGAACAAAGAAAAGATACTGGATTGGAAAGTATATTGAGTGTTTTTCTGATAGGACTATCTTTTAGTTATTACCTAACTATATTTCAAAATATATAATGGACAAAGTTTAAGTAAAATTAAATTAATTAATTGAAATTGAAAAACATTTTTGTCTATATCTCATCTAATAATAAATTAAATGAAGCGGTAAAATAATTTGTTTGTAACAATAGTGTCACAATTAAACGTGTGAGGCAAGAACATTCTCTGAGAATGATAATATTCTTTTAAAGTCAAGATTTGGAGAATAGGTGAAAAATATCTCCTTATATATTTAGGTGTGAAAAAAAAAATTTTTTTTTTTCATGTTACAAAATTTTGATTATTTATCTGTGTCAAGAATAACTGAAATAAATTATACTAAAATAAATATACACAAAATATAAATTAACTAAAAAAAATTTTCATCAGAAAACTATTTTCTTCAGTTGACGTATAGTTAGATGTACTTGTATACTCGGCTGTGCTATTTTTGTTTCCTGGCTTTAATAGTGTAATATTGTAGGCTACATATTCTAGATTTCCTTTTCTCACAATACATTTATTTTTGCGGAATGTATTAAGCCATAATTTAGGGGTGTACAACCTGCGGCCTGCTGACTACTGAAGTGCTGCCAGTGAGAGCTTCTAAACACATTAAAACAATTAAATGAACCTGTAAAAAAAAAAAAATTTAATTGCACTTTTTAGTCATCAAGTTTTGACACGATCAATTTTAACAGATTCTATAGTAAATGTATTCAACATACATTTTAAATGAAGTGAAGTTTTAAATGAAATGAACATACATTAATTACTATACGCGCTATCTTTAAGCCAATTTTATCGTAAATATAAATGATTTTTTTTTAAAACATTTATTTCCACTTTTCAATGTGATTTCAAAAATCCGGAAGTTTTATTACGACATGCAAATTTCAGATCGCCCACTTAAATAAAATTAAAAAAAATGAAAAATTTGGCAGTCATTGCTATGCATTTACTTGCTATAAAAAATTTCGATAATTTTATTACGGCATGCGATTGTTGCTATACTTCTCCACGTGACTTTGACGATCTCGTAATTAACTATGATGTTATTGCGACGCGCAAATTTCTAAGTACGCATTTAAATTGAATTTTTTTCTTATAATTTTACAGTGTTGAGCATAATCTTGTATCTATTTACAATTTAAAAACTCCTTGAAAAAGTTTTTTGCAATAATCGGACCCTATTTGCACAAATTCATAAAAGCAGGACCCTGGTTGAAAGAATGTGAGTAATTTTTTCACAAAAACCAGACCTTTCATAAAATGTTTGGATAGACCCCTGCTCTCAGAAAAACCTAGACAGACCCCTGAAGAAATAAAGTACATTAACAAATAAGTATTGAATTTTATTTTGAACTATAACAGCTTTGTTTTTATTTTAGGCTCATATTTAAAGCTTACATATTTTCTTCAATTAAAATATTTAATTTGAATTTATGTTACTTGTAATAAATTTTTTCTAACTTTCATTCTGTGAGCGTTGGTTTTTTTTTATTAGAATTTATTTTTAAAATGAATTTTTGTATTGTGTGATATGATTAAAAAAAAAAAAAATTATTTCATTTCTCCAATGTTCATTTATTTATTTTGATAAATCTGTATTTGATATGATAAAAATGGCGATTTTTTTTTCTTAAAAAAAGGATTACCTAGTTTTTATTTTCGAATGAATTCTAATAATTGAACACCTTTAATTTTCCACAAATGTATTATTTAGTTTGAAGCTCGGCGGCTGTGCGTTAGCACTTCTCGCTGTCGTGCCACTTGTCCCTGGTTCGATCCTCGGGCCGGGCAAGGTTGACTCAGCCTTTCATCCCTTCAGTGGGTCGATAAATGAGTAACAAGCATGCTTGGGAACTAAACACTGGGGGTTCCACGCTCGGTCGACCACCTGACCGAAGCATCTGCTCCTGCACCCCAGAGCCCATGGTCAAGAAAACTGATATGGGCACAGTAGGCCTTGGCCCTCTATGGGCTGTTGCGCCACTGAGTTTAGTTTATATTATTAAGTTTATTGATTAAAAAAACATTCGAACGCTTATATTTAATAAAATATTACTACATTTGTCGTTAACATGTCTTTCGTTAGTCAACCTGCTGTGCAAATGGCACTGCACTCAAAAAGCTTGTGCACCCCTACTATAATCACTAAAACTTCGTATTTGTTGGTGTTGTTTGATTTGGTTAGTATTATCAGTATAACTTTGGCCATCTTAACTCAGATACATGTTCCCAGTGCTATCGTCACAGGAAGAAAAAAATTAATTTCTTTTGTTATTATACATTTTCTATTTTTTAATGCATTGCAAAATTTTGCTGCATCATTAGATAGAAAATGTTCTATATCTACTTTTTCATCAGCTATTCTCATTAGGTTGCTCAAAAGCTTGCTGGTCAATCTGTTTTGATATTTTGTCATAATTCAGTTTTGGGTGCTAAAAGACTTTTCAACAGATGCTGATCTATTACTAGTAATTTATTATCTAAATTTTATAGTGAAAAAAGTAGAAATCTTTATTTTTCATATCTGTATTTTTTTTCTTCTAGATCATGTCTATGATAATAACTTCAGACTCTAAGGCTGCCCTAAGGGAAGTCAAAAGAGTACAATTTGGTATCCTGAGTCCTGATGAAATTAAACGGATGTCTGTTACTGAAGGAGGAGTCCGATATCCTGAAATTTATGAAAGTGGGCGTCCGAAGCTTGGAGGCCTTATGGATCCACGCCAAGGTGTTATTGATAAAGCTTCCCGTTGTCAAACTTGTGCTGGGAATATGGCTGCGTGTCCTGGTCATTTTGGACATGTTGAATTAGCCAAGCCTGTTTTTCATGTTGGATTTCTGAAGAAAAGCATTAAAATTATGAGGTGTGTGTGCTTTTATTGTTCTAAACTGAAGGTTTCACCTACAAATCCAAAAATCAAAGAAATTATAGGAAAAACAAAAAACCAACCCAGAAAGCGTCTGGCTCATGTTTATGAGCTTTGCAAAGGAAAGAATATTTGTGAAGGAGGTGATGAAATTGATACAAAACTTGGACAAGAGTCTACATTGCATGATGATGGTAGTAAGAAATCTGGTCATGGAGGTTGTGGTAGATATCAACCTTCAATCCGTCAAAGTGGCTTGGATTTAACAGCTGAATGGAAGCATATAAATGAAGATTCACAAGAAAGAAAAATAGCTTTGACTGCTGAAAGAGTCTGGGAAATATTTAAGCATATATCAGATGAAGAATGTGTTATTATGGGCATGGATCCAAAATATGCTAGACCTGATTGGATGATTGTGACTGTCTTACCTGTGCCTCCTCTCCCAGTTAGACCAGCTGTAGTGATGTTTGGTTCTGCAAGAAATCAAGATGATCTTACGCACAAACTCTCTGATGTAGTTAAAGCAAATAATGAGTTAATTAGAAATGAACAAAGTGGAGCAGCTGCTCATATTATTGCAGAAAATATTAAAATGCTGCAATTTCATGTTGCTACTATCGTTGATAATGAATTACCTGGACTGCCTAGAGCTATGCAAAAAAGTGGCAGACCCTTAAAATCTATAAAACAAAGATTAAAAAGTAAAGAAGGTAGAATTCGAGGCAACCTTATGGGAAAGAGAGTTGACTTTTCTGCTCGAACGGTCATTACACCTGATCCAAATTTAGCTATCTTCGAAGTTGGTGTTCCTAGATCTATAGCACAAAACTTGACTTTTCCTGAAATAGTCACGCCATTTAATATTGATAAGATGCATGAACTTGTACAAAGAGGAAACAATCAGTATCCTGGAGCGAAGTACATTGTCCGTGATAGTGGTGAAAGAATTGATTTAAGATTTCACCCAAAAGCTAGTGACTTGCATCTGCAGTGTGGCTATAGAGTTGAACGTCATGTGAGAAATGGTGATGTTATTGTGTTCAATCGACAACCAACTCTGCACAAAATGTCTATGATGGGTCACCGCATAAGAGTTTTACCATGGTCTACATTCCGAATGAATTTAAGTGTGACAACTCCATATAATGCTGATTTTGATGGAGATGAAATGAATCTTCATGTGCCTCAATCTCTTGAAACTAGAGCAGAAATACAGGAGCTGGCTCTTGTGCCTAGAAATATAATCACTCCACAATCAAATAAACCAGTAATGGGTATTGTACAGGATACTCTTACTGCTGTGAGAAAAATGACTAAAAGAGATGTTTACTTGGAAAAAGATCAAATGATGACGCTATTGATGTTTCTTCCCATTTGGGATGGTAAAGTTCCAATGCCTGCTATTTTGAAGCCTAAGCCACTTTGGACTGGAAAACAGTTGTTTTCCTTGATAATTCCTGGAAATGTCAATTTGATTCGTACACACAGCACTCACCCAGATGAAGAGGATGATGGGCCATACAAATGGATTTCTCCTGGGGACACTAAAGTATTAATTGAACATGGAGAATTAGTGAGTGGAATTGTTTGTAAAAAGACTGTAGGAGCTTCAAGTGGATCTTTGATGCACGTTTTATTTTCTGAATTGGGACACGAAGTTGCTGGAGCTTTCTATGGCCATATCCAAATGGTTGTTAACAATTGGCTTTTGTTAGAGGGTCACAGCATTGGTATTGGTGATACTATTGCTGATCCACAAACCTACATTGATATCCAAAATACAATTAAAAAGGCAAAAATGGACGTGATAGAAGTAATTGAAAAAGCCCACAATGATGATCTTGAACCAACACCTGGTAATACTTTAAGACAAACTTTTGAAAACCAAGTGAATCGTATTCTTAATGATGCTCGTGACAAAACTGGTGCCAGTGCTCAAAAATCTTTGTCAGAGTTTAACAACTTCAAAGCTATGGTAGTATCTGGGGCAAAAGGATCAAAAATTAATATATCTCAAGTTATTGCTTGTGTAGGGCAACAAAACGTTGAAGGTAAAAGAATACCGTTTGGTTTTAGAAAACGTACTCTTCCTCATTTCATCAAAGATGATTATGGTCCTGAAAGCAGAGGATTTGTGGAGAATTCATATCTTGCTGGCTTAACACCATCAGAATTCTTTTTCCATGCCATGGGAGGTCGTGAAGGTCTCATTGATACTGCTGTAAAAACTGCTGAAACTGGTTATATTCAGCGACGTTTGATAAAGGCTATGGAAAGTGTAATGGCTACATATGATGGCACCGTCAGAAATAGTACTGGTCAAGTTATTCAGTTCCGTTATGGAGAAGATGGATTAGATGGAATTTGCGTTGAGTTTCAATCTTTACCTACATTAAAACCATCTGACAAAGCTTTTGAAAAGCGTTTTAAATTTGATGCTGCAAATGAGAGATATTTAAGGAGAATTTTTATTGAAGAAGTTGTACGAGAAGTACTTGGGGATTCAAAGGCTGTTGGTGAATTTGAAAAAGAATGGGAAACTCTGAAAGCAGAGCGAGAAGTTTTACGAACCATATTTCCTACTGGTGATAGTAAGGTTGTTTTGCCATGTAATCTTCAAAGAATGATATGGAATGCTCAGAAAATCTTCCATGTGCATACACGATCTCCCACTGATTTAAGTCCCTTAAGAGTCATGCAAGGAGTCGAAAATCTTGTTAAGAAAATAGTTATTGTGCCTGGTGAAGACAGACTTAGTGTTCAAGCAAATGATAATGCTACTATTCTGTTCAGAGCTTTACTTCACTCTACATTGTGCACTAAACGGGTTTCTGAAGAGTTCCGCTTATCTACAGAAGCTTTTGATTGGCTCTTGGGAGAAATTGAAACCCGTTTCCAGCAAGCTCAAGTACAACCTGGTGAAATGGTTGGTGCATTAGCAGCTCAGTCTCTTGGTGAACCTGCTACTCAAATGACACTAAACACTTTCCATTATGCTGGTGTATCAGCTAAAAATGTAACACTTGGTGTACCCAGGTTAAAAGAAATCATCAATATTTCTAAAAAACCTAAGACTCCTTCTTTAACTGTATTCTTGACCGGAGCAGCTGCTCGAGATGCTGAAAAAGCTAAAGATGTACTTTGCCGGTTAGAGCACACAACTTTGAGAAAAGTCACTGCTAATACTGCAATTTACTATGATCCAGATCCGCAAAATACTGTTATTGCTGAAGATCAAGAATTTGTAAATGTTTATTATGAAATGCCAGACTTTGACCCTTCACGAATTTCCCCCTGGCTGTTGAGAATTGAATTAGATCGTAAAAGAATGACTGATAAGAAATTAACCATGGAACAAATTGCTGAAAAAATCAATGCTGGTTTCGGAGATGATTTAAACTGCATTTTCAACGATGATAATGCTGAAAAACTTGTTTTACGAATTAGAATTATGAATAATGATGACAATAAATTGCAAGAAGAGGAAGAACAAGTAGACAAAATGGAAGATGATGTTTTCTTACGGTGTATTGAAGCGAATATGTTGAGTGACATGACACTGCAAGGAATAGAAGCTATTGCTAAAGTATATATGCACTTGCCAACTACTGATAATAAAAAACGAATTGTGATTACTGAAACTGGTGAATTCAAACCAATTGCTGAATGGCTTTTGGAAACTGATGGAACAAGCTTAATGAGAGTATTGAGTGAAAAAGATGTTGATCCTGTTAGAACCTATTCCAATGACATTTGTGAAATATTTGAAGTAATGGGAATTGAGGCTGTAAGAAAAGCAGTCGAAAAAGAAATGAACCATGTCATCTCTTTTGATGGTTCATATGTAAATTATCGTCATCTTGCATTGCTTTGTGATGTTATGACAGCCAAAGGTCATCTGATGGCCATCACTCGACATGGTATTAATCGTCAAGATACTGGACCATTAATGAGATGTTCTTTTGAAGAAACTGTTGATATTCTACTTGATGCTGCTTCCCATGCTGAATTAGATCCCCTTAAAGGTGTATCAGAAAATATAATCATGGGGCAGCTGGCAAGAATGGGCACAGGTGCATTTGATTTATTACTTGATGCAGAAAAATGTAAATATGGTATAGAAATACCTCTTTCTGGTGCAATGGGCGGACCTGGTGTATTCTTTGGAAGTGTGGCCAGCCCTAGCAGTGGCATGTCTCCACAAATGACACCCTGGAATCAAGGCACTACTCCAGCATATGCAAATGCTTGGTCACCAGGTTTAGGTAGTGGTATGACTCCTGGTGCTGCAGGTTTCTCTCCATCGGCTGCAAGTGATGCTAGTGGATACAGTCCTGGCTATAGCCCTGCTTGGTCCCCTCAGCCTGGATCTCCCGCCTCTCCTGCATCACCTTATATTCCTAGCCCTGTTGGAGCCATGTCACCTAGTTATTCTCCATCATCACCATCTTTTGCTCCGACTTCACCATCTTTGACACCACAAAGCCCAAGTTATTCTCCTACTTCACCATCTTATTCTCCAACGTCTCCTAATTATAGCCCTACCAGTCCTAGTTACTCACCAACCAGTCCTAGTTACTCACCTACTAGTCCAAGTTATTCACCTACCAGTCCAAGTTATTCGCCAACTAGCCCAAGCTACTCACCTACCAGTCCAAGTTACTCACCTACCAGTCCAAGTTATTCGCCTACTAGCCCGAGCTACTCACCAACAAGTCCAAGCTACTCACCAACGAGTCCAAGCTACAGCCCGACAAGCCCAAGTTACAGTCCTACAAGCCCTAGTTACAGCCCAACAAGTCCTAGCTATTCTCCAAGTTCTCCAAATTATACCCCAGCATCGCCTTCTTATTCCCCAACTAGCCCTAGCTACTCCCCAACAAGTCCAAGTTATTCTCCTACTTCACCATCTTACAGTCCTACCAGCCCTAGCTATTCACCTAGCTCTCCGAGTTATTCTCCTCAAAGTCCAAGCTACAGTCCTGGAAGTCCTAATTATTCTCTTACAAGTCCAAAATACTCGCCTACATCTCCATCCTACAGTCCTACCAGTCCAAGTTATTCACCTGGATCACCACAATATACACCAACTTCTCCCAAATATAGTCCAACTTCTCCAACTTATTCGCCAACTTCTCCATCATATTCCCCTAGCAGTCCTAAATATTCCCCTTCAAGCCCTCAATATTCACCAACAAGTCCCTCTTATACTCCAACGTCACCGAAGTACAGCCCACCATCGCCAACTTATAGTCCTTCCTCGCCAAAATATTCTCCTACTTCACCTTCATACTCTCCTACGTCTCCTCAATACAGTCCTACTTACTCTGTTACAAGTCCTAAAGGTTCGGCTTATTCCCCTACAAGTCCTGGTTACTCACCATCTTCTCCAACCAGCCCCGATCCATCAATGTGATCATTTTTACTGAACTATTTTGAAAACATTTTTGCAGAATTGATTGCTTACAGTGAGATAAAAATGTTCTTATAATGCTTTTTAACATTGTAAGTTGTTTAAAAATTCAAGCGATCAATTCTAAGTTTCCTTTTTTTTATTTTTAAAAATGTATGGATATGTAACAAGATTTCTTATTTGACAAGTTTTTTAACTGTTGAATTTAATGTACCGAAGTGCAGTAAAATTTTAATGTACGATTCATTTGTATTTAACTGTTGATCATGTTGGTGTTGTGAACTTAATTTAAATTTTCTTGCAAGAAAGTTAGTTCAACTTGTATTTTCTTCTGTCTTCTCTCTTTTTTCTTCCTTTTTTTTTAAGACTTTTTTTTTTTTTTTAATAATCTTTCAATAATGACAAATGTGTGTATGACAATAATGTATTCTAATGATTCCATGAATTTTTTTTATTTTTTAGATTGAAATCTTATTGAATATTGAGTTATATTTGACATAGTATCATTTATTTTTCTTTCATTCATTTTATTAATGCTTCATTTGAGAAATTGAAAAAAAAAATTTTATAAAAAAAAAGGGCTGAGTGTAAAATTAATGGATATGGCAAGTGAAGTATTTACTTAATTAAATTTATTTGTGCAAGTTCTCCAGTTATTATTTTTATTTTAGAACCGTAGATAAGTTGTAAATATTGAGATAAATATTGTTTTTAGTTTTCTTATATAATTCTATTGTTTAATTAAAGTTGAGCTTATATATATTTTTTATAGTAACTATAGCTCATCTATCCTTTTAAGTTACTTGCTTTATTTCATCACAAAATTAATTCTTCTGTTTACCCAGGTTTGTGCTGTTGTATCATTATGATTCCAGTGTGACTTTCATTTTCTAGTTTGTTTTTTTTTTAATTGTTAATATATTTAAATTTGTCATTCATACTATGCTTTAAAACATTTTCACAATTCGGGCAATGGTTGATTGCAATTTGCTCCAGTATATCTTATATATCACTGATGATAATATCTATGATTCTGTTGTGCTTCATATATATTGGAAATATTTATGGAAATGTATCAAATAAAGATTATTCTGAACTTTTCCTGTCTCGTATTTTTGTTATATATCTTATTTAAAATGCAAGCAATATTCAGTTAGACTACCGAACAAGCTATTCAGCCTTTGCCGAATACTTATGTAAAATATTAATATTAAAAAAATCATGTAAGCATACATTAATCAGTTATAATTAAAATGTCCACACACATGGCTATTATTCCTATCTTCACACATGGCTATTATTCCTATCTTTTTTGTTCTAAATGAAATTTAGCAATCCAGCATAATAGAGATGGCTAAAATATTTAATATGTTCAAGTAGATATCAAAAAAATGCTGTAATTGCTTACAATTACTTAGCCTGTCACAGAGTAAAAAATTCAAACCAGATGTAAAACTGAGGTTTTTACCAAATTTATTGCTTTCTTTATCTAAACTTAAAAGTACTTGGAAAAAAATAGTACTTAATAAAATATGCAATTTTTAATTTCAGAATTATTTTGTATAGAACAGGAAGTGATGACACTTTCATAAATATTAGAGTTCATAACAGCTCGGTGGTTTGAGATAAGAGTAGCTAGTTGACTTTATTTAATTGGTATAACAATAATTTTATTCTTCATAAATTAATTTGCTTGGAGCAATTCTATTGAAAAATAAATCTTTAGTGCCCTTCATTGCACTCAGTTATGAAATTGATTTACGTTAAGTTCATGCAAAAATTCAAATGGTTGTTCTCTTCAACTCTTATTTTTCAGGAGCTGTTCAATTAAATTCGTTACAAAAATTATGGAGCTGGTTGCTGGAAGAAACAGAGGAATTGAACTGCGATTGTTATAAACATCTCTAAATTTAAACTTTAAAAAAAAAAAAAATCACAGTTTAACTCCTCTGTTTCCTTCAGCAAACTTGTTTTTCGCCCTCCGTTCCTCAGTATTACTCGCTAGATTTTTAATACCTTTTTTTTTCTTAGCTTGAATACTTCGTTGTGATATCTCTAATTCTACACTACCATACTGAAACAAATGATTATAGGCGAATCAGGGATCCCACGATGTGGCACAGTATTTAAATATGTATTATTGAATTTCTAAATACGAATAATAGTGTTAAAATGGAGAAATTGCTGCTCATACTTAAATATTTATATCCCCATAGCTCTCCTTTATATTAGCCTGTAATATTCAAACTCGGTCAGGTATTACATTATAACATACTATACTAGCATACAAAAGGAAATAATTTTCTAAAATTCGAATAATAGCGTTTAAGTAAAGAAATTGTGGCTCATATATTGTAGACATATATGGCCCTAAATAATTATAACCTAAAAAATAAAATAATTTGTACCTAATATAATAATTTCCTTTGGTATGATAATATATTATTCTATTATATAATACTTGACGGAGTTTGAATATAGTAGGTTAATTTTAAAGGGGGATATGGGCAATTTATATAAACAGTATATGAGCAATAATTTCTCCATTTTGACGCTACTATACGCCCTTTGAATTGTATACTTACTTACGTATTATGCCCATTGTGGGCCCCCTAATTTTTGTATAATAATTTCCTGTGGTTTGGTAGTAAAGCATGTTATAATTTAATCCCTGACCGAGTTTGAATATTATAGGATTAAGCGGATATATATGTAGTATATGAGCAACAATTTCTTTATTTTAATGTTTAAATTATATTACACTCTCAGAAAAGGAAAAAAAAAAATAATTATTTTAACTAAAGGAATATTTTATTTATAAACGTTTAAAATAAAATAAAAAATAATTGTTTTCATGTAAGACAATCATTAACATTGACCACGAACAAGGTTCGAACCCCGGACCTTTTGGAATAGCATATAAATATAGTACAAAGAAAAATGGATTACCCTGATTAACTTATAATCTAATTAATAGATCTTCACGTTCTAGGATTCAGTCATAATGGCTCGAGGGGGTGATCTCAAATATGCTTATTATTAAATGCAAACTATATTTTAATTTACGAAATCAGACACATAAACGTAATTGTTCTGAATTCGCATACCGTTTTAATCGACAGATTCGGAATTTTTACTCCCGAAATATAGTGGAAGCCGCTATCTGAGAAACGTTATCTCAATCGTTTCGTCAGCAGGAGAGCGCTCCGAAGTTTGGACCCCTTAATGTTAATTTTACATTTCGCGATATCTCAAAAACTTTTTAAACGAATGGAAAAATTCTTGCACACAATTATAAAATTCGTTTATCCAAAGGTTTTTCCATGCAAAAAATAAATTTTAATAAATATTTATTATTTTTATTAATTTATTCCATAATGGTAGCAAAAAAGATATGTAAGATTTAAAATTTTTGCATTATTTTAAAGAATATAATTTTACACGGCGAAATACAAAATCTGAGCCAAATCGGACGAATAGTTTTCGAGAAATTAAATTTCAAAAACGTCAGATATTTAAAATTTGATTCCTCAGGAAATATTCGACCGATTTTGCTCAAATATTGTATTTTGCCATGTACAATTATATTCTTTAAAATTACACAAAAAATTGTGCACAATTCGACATTTTTTCAAAAAATAATAAATATTTACTAAAAATTATTTTTTACACGGAATTATCTTGGAATAAACTAAATTTTATAAATGTGGACAAATTTTTTTCAATTCGTTTAAATATTTGTGTGATACGGCGAAATACCCAAAAAGTAAAATTAACATTTAGTGGTCCAAAATTTAGAGCCCTCTCCTGGCCAAACTATTGGGACCATATTTCCCAGATATGGGCTATCCCCCATACTTCCGGAGTAAAAAAAAGGCATGCTTATTCAGATCAAGTACTTTTTTGTGTGGGATTTCGTAATTTAAAATATCGTCAGCACTTAATAATTAGCATATTTAAGGTTACCCCCTGAAACCATCGAGTCCTAGAACATGAAAAAATCGATAGAGTTGAGATAATAGGTAGAGGAACCAAGCTCACTTTATTCCTTCGGAAAAGACAAACCACAAAAATCTGAAGTCACGCGATTGAAAGAGTGCAGTACTTGACACAATATCACAAATGTAGGAGCACAAAATTTTTAACCAGCTTTATTTCGATATTACCGATGCGCAAATAATCGCAGCGTTTGAAAGAGAAAAAAAAATATATTTTCGTTAATCACATTTCTTTGAATTCCAGAATGGTTTTTAAAACATAAGTTTTTTTTTTCTTAGCAAATAATTTTTAATTAAAATACTGCTTTTATTAGAAAATTCAAGTAGTTCTCGTCTTTACCCTTATCACTATTCCTTACAATTTATTCATTATATATAAATAAAAAACGATGTTCTGCGCCACTTATATTTATTACTATATTCAGAAAAATTTTTTGTAAATGTTTTCATTACAAAGACCTATTTTTTCAAAAAAAATTTAACAATATATATTGTAATAACTCCAGCGTTTAGTTAATAAAAAATAATAATAATAACTTCGATACAAAAATACGATTTTTTTTACACCTACCAGGGCTTAAAACGTCAATTTGAAAATGTTGCCTTTCTTTTTTAATGAAACGTAAGTTCGTTTAAAAGCTAAATTTAATCTTAACGTTTTGTCTGTAAGATAAAACAAATTGTAAACATATAGTCTGAGAAACGTTCGATGCTTAGAAATAAAATAAGGGGGGAGGGGGAAATGTTCAGTTGTAATACGTAAAAGATACGTTAATGTTGCAACACTTTTAACATTATTATTTATGCTCACCAAGAGACTGCTCCAGAGGTAATATTAAATTTCGGGAAAAATAGCTTCGAGGAAGAAAAAAAACCCAGTTTTTAGTAGAATAGGATAGACATATTTTTCTACAAATTTTAATTACTACGTTTAGAGCATTATTTATATATTAAATTATTTAAACAATAAAGATTATTTACGTTATTAATTTAGCATTTCAACTTTTTTTTCCTGACACTTAAAATTGATATTTTCAAAAATAAACTACTGTTGCATTTTAACGCAATACTCAACAATTTGTCTAAATATGAAATAAAATATTTATTCTAATATAAAAGTTTTCAGTGCCGAATAGAGAAAAATATAAGATTAAAAGCATTAAACTAGCCTGCTGCATAATAGGGCTNGTTATGTTTTCTAAATTTGTTGCACTAAATCAAACTAATTCTACGCTTTAATATACTAGTAAAATAAAGTATTTCCAATAAAGCAACTATTTTTAAATAAAATCTAATAAAGGAAAATAATAAGAGCTTAACAACTATTTTTAAATTTCTAATAAAGGAAAATAATAAGAGCTTAATTAAAAATTTTACTTTGTATTTAATGTACAATCTAATTCCATGAATTAAAAAGAAAATTGAATTGTACACACAAAGTGACTAGTAGAAAAGCTTCCGAAATTTAAACAAGAATTAATTAAAAGAGAAAGAAATTAGAATTTTTAGTTTGTACTAAATGTAGATTCAAACTAATAATTATAATTAAAAAACCTAACTTTTATTGTGATAGAAATTGCAATTTATGCAACTATGAGTTATAGGTAAATATATATTTAATAATTTTTATACAGAAAACCAGTAACTTAAAAAGTAACATTTAAAACTATTTTATTTTACAAATAAAAAAATCTTAATAATTTTATAGACATTAAAGAAAATTACAATGCTATCGATAAAAATGTAAATTTCTTAGTCTATCTATAAAAAACGTAAATTTCTTAAAAATAGCAAATGTATTTAAAACTATCTTTTAGCCAGATAGCATATAAAATATATACAAAGGTATAAACAGTTGAAATTTTACAAGAAAGGTTCAGGATGTTAAATCTTTGCACCACAGCCAGCTGTTAGCCTTGGCCGTCTGAACAGTTTATTCCCTACCAATCCTTCACATGCTAGTACTGCACTAATTTACTCTTACACAACTTAGCCACTTCTATGTTATGTTTTCTGAATTTGTTGCACTAATTCAACACTTTATATTAGTAAAATAAAGTATTTCCAATATAGTACCCATATTTAAATAAAAAGAAGATAAACAAGTACTTAATGATTATATTAAATACAGCGTAATTTATTTTCTAAATAGTACATAATTTTGTATTCATTTTATGTATAGTAACAGAATTATACAATTTTATTAAAAATTATCACTAAGATTACTATACACTATTTTAAATTTAAGTACTAAAAATATTTCATAGATTTTATTCATTCATCAAACATATAAGAATATACAAATAATTTGTTTTTTAAGAATTCCTATGTAATTTAAAAAATACAACTTCTTATGTACCATATTTTATTATTTAAATATATATATTTATAGGAAAGATTTCAGAACAAGACAAATATTGGATTTTCATAATCAAGAGTAAAGATATACCATAATCTTCAGAATATATAGAAATTTTATGGACATTTAAAGAGAACAAAAACAAAACCGAAAGTTTTCTCAACTGTTCCTTGGCGTTAAAGTATCTCGCCAAGGAAATTAATAAAGCTTTGCAGCTATTTCAGCTAAAAATAGAGTATATATTGAAAGATACTTAAACATAATAAGTTTAAGAAACAATAAAAACTTATGTTAAATGAGAAAAAAAATAAGTGAACAAAACCGAGCGTAACTGATTATTAAAGCAAATAAAACATGATTATCATAGCATGACTTGAGTATCGGAAAAACTTTAAAATAGAGAAAGTGGGAAAAAAAATGTCGTCCCTTTCTCGTAAAATTTTATTGGATAGCCCCTAGAAAATTTCTCCTTGCAGCAAAAGGCGCAGGACTTTTGTACCATTCTTATTTCTTGATTAAAAAGACACAGTTAATTGCATCAGACGATCGCAATCCTAAACAAATGAGCTGGAATAGAAGCGGTAACTTTAGGCAGCAGTCACGTGACTTCATCTTGTCCACGGGTCAGGGGTTATTCTACTCTCTCTACCCCAGTATTTCAACTCTACAGAAACATCTGATCACTAGCTCAAAAGTTATTGAAGGTGATAATTTTTTTAGCGTATTGTACAGTATGCAAGCAAAAATTTCTACTCTTTTAACTCTATTATACGCTTTTAAAAAAATTATAATTTTAAGTAAAAAGAATTATTTACGGAACAATATTGTAAAATAAATAATTTATTTTTATGAAATATAATTTTTAATTAATGACCATGTTCAGGGTATGATCCCCGGGACTAGCAATCTGGTACTTCTTATTACTTAACCCTATTTATACAAACAGTAAATCGAGCAACAATTTCAGACATTAACGCTATTGTACACACTTAGAAATTTATACTTACATGTTAAGTCACATTGTGAGCCCCCTAATTTGTGTATAATTATTTTTTGTTGTATGGTAGTATAGTATGTAATATACCTGACCAAGTTGGAATATTATACGCAGGGTTGGCAGGTTTTTGACATGTGACAGTTNTGACATTTTTGACGGGTTTTTGACGGTTTAAACCAGTATTATACCCTTGTCATGTCAAAAACCACTTTTTGACGTCAAAAACCCAACCCTGATTATACGTTAATATTAAAGGGATATATGGGCCATTGATTAATATAGCATATGTGCAACAATTTCCTTCATTTTGAATCTATTATACACACTTTGAAATACATAGATGAGATAATGTGCCACATTATGGGTCCCCTAATTTGTCAATAATTTCCTTTGATATGGTAATAAATTATCTTATCTAAAAGAGCTTAAATTCTATAGGTTAATATTAAGGAGAGATATGGAGCCTTTTATATATACAGTAAATGAGCAACAATTTCTTCATTTTGACACTACATTATGCACTTTGATATATATATGTAATAATATATTTAAATCTTTTATATCTAAAATTCTCTTAACTAGCACTTTAATAATTAAAAAGTTTTCGAATTTTTTTTATATTTATCAGATATTAATTGATATTTACATTAAAGTAATATTTTAAATATAAAATTAAAAGATTTTATAAATGAAAATTCTAATAATCTTATTATGATGCAAGAAAAATGTTTAAAATACTCTATTATTATAAATCGCTATTTTATAAATACATTACCTTAAATTTGGACCAGTGAATTACTACTGCATTTTACATACTTATCTTAGAAAAAAATATAATTTATAGTTAAATAACTTAATTAAAATTTTTTGAGTGATCATTACAAGTACCCAATTCTAAGCAGCAGTGCTGTCGCCAAGTACCTTACCACCTAGATAACTGCCTCCTTAATCTAAGGAAAATTTATCTACTAATAGCATCTAAATTATAGAAGTAATTTTCTTGGATTTGAAGGGGAAGGGTTGTGCATTGTTGTTTTATAATAAAAGATAAGCACCCTAAATCATTTTTCTACTTGTTGGAGTATAAAATACATTTTAAAGATTACACATGGTATACTTACAATCATTTAACTTTAAATTGTAATAAAATAAAAAACTGACAAAACAAACAGAAATAAATGAAATTTTAATGAGAATAATGTTTATTCAAAACATATTTTAATGAAAGTTTTATGATACAATGGAAAATAAAATTTACAAATTTCGAAAGAAATCCTGGTCCAAATGGGCAAAAGCAGCTGCAATCACTTGTCTGACATCTGAAGAAGAAAAAAAAAAAAAAATCTATAGTTTTTTATGAAACAACAAAAATACAAACTGCCCTAAAAAATTTAAAATACTTTGTAAGTCCTAGATTATAACATTAATCAAACCTCTTAATGATAGTTAAAAATAATTAGAAATGTTACCATTTTTAATTCAAAAAGTTACAAATAACCTGCCATAAAATGTACTAGGTAAAATAAGCTGAGTTCTAGCTCAAAATTTTTTGATAAACAAAGAACTAAAAGAATTATTGGAAATTTCAAATGAAAAAATTGAAGTAACCATAGAAAATTTCAGAATCGGGGTTTTGAAAAGGGCACATGGGATCTTCTCCACCAATACTGGTGGAAAATGTCCCAAAGTGCCAAAAAGCATGAGCACGATCAAAATACAAAATTATAAAAATAGTTATTACATTTAAAATTACCAATTACACTGAGTGCACTAATTATATATAAAAAATATCTATGTATTACAAATATTTAATTTTAAATAATTTATTCCACTAGTTGTAATCCCATAATTTATCCTAATTTTAAGACTATGTTGATAAATTTTAAAATGAGTAACAATATTGAAAACATATTTATTGCATAATATGAACAAATAAAGCAATAATAACAGTTCATAATAAGTTTGTTGACATAAGGCCCTCTAAGTAGCATACTATTTCCAAATAACATCCATTTTTTCTTTCTTTTCTAAATGCAATCCTTCTATTAAAAAGGAATTGGGACAATATTTTTACCAAAAGAAATTGTAATACCATTTTTCGTGACCACAGAAAAGGAATAAGATTGAAACCTTTAAAAAAAAAAAAAAAAAACTAAGAGCATTTCCCCCCTTTTGTTTTTAAAGATTTTTATCACACCCTCATTTCGTTCAGGGTTATGAAACATGGCAGGACTTGACAAAAGCCCTATATCACATTCCTTGAGCTAAAAATATCATTCCAACTCTATTTTAGATTTTTTACTGCAAAGATTATGTTTCAATAAAAAAAATAATAAAAAAAAAAACGGGTGTGGTAATTTGAAAATTTCAAAAGTTTCCCACGGTAAGTGTAAGAACTATGCAAACAGTGTACAAAAACAAAATATAAGACTTTAAATAACTTTTGATCCAGTGATCGCATCTTCATGCACTTAAACTTAATCATAATGGTTTAAAGGAGTGACCCCTTTTAACTTTCGAAAAACTTAACTATAGTAAGAAAAAAATTAGAGCTATGTATAAGAATAACAAATCAGAACTCTCGAGCCAAATTGTGAAAAACAGCATTCAGAAAAAGTGATTAACTACAAGTTTTGTCTCATTTTAACAATTACACCTTTAAAATTGATGCATTGAGTACAAATAAAGATGGACACAAACAAATTGTGTTTTACAAAATCAAATGCGAGAAATATTTCAAAAATATTTTGTTTTCTGGTGATTATTACTTGAAAACACAAAAAAAAATTCATTGTTATTTTGGTGAAGTATTACTGTTTGCACTGAATGGCTGGGTTAACTTTATTACTTATTTGATGGTGCCACCACCATTCCATGAATAATTCAGAGATACAAAAATAAGTTGTCATAAGTGAAACCTACTAATCAATGTAAAAATGGGTTTTAAGAGTTACACAAAGCAGGACAAATTAAAAGAAATAAAACGAAGGTTTTTTACAAAAATTTACAATTTATACCTTTTTACCGGTAACGACTGCTACTGCTTTCTCCTGAACGTGATGGAGGCTATAAATAAAAAAACATGTTTAAATGATAAATAATATATAATGACTAAAAAATAAACTTCGCTATCAGTTCTCGTTGAACAGACTATACATGAATATTTCCAATAAATCTTGATAATATATTCCATGATAAGTAAACTAATTATAATTTATAAAAAAATGAAAATGTTTGTCGAATGGGAGACAAATCAATCAATTCAAAAGGTTTAATTAAGCTACTATCAATATTTAGTTTAGTTATTAGAATAAAATTCTTAACTACTTGTTATTTCTTATGTTACAATAGTTTTAGTACGTCTACATTCTAGTCTACGCAGTTCAGCATCAATAATAGTAAGAATGGTTTCAATTATTCATACAAAACTACTTGTTTGTAATTGCATGCTTCAGGGAAAGGAAAAATTAAAATGTGAATAAATGAAAAATGATTTGACATACAATGAAAGAGGTGATTATGGGTTATTTTTATAAGATTAATGTTTTCGTATTCCTATTTTTAATAATTGAAAAAAATAACTTATTGGATAAGTTGCAATTTTATACATTTCTTTTTATAATTTAATATTTTCTACACCAAAATTTGGGTTCTTGACAGCAATTGTCAAAACAAAAAGAGTTTAATGCTAAAATAATTCAGAAACAGAATGGAATGATCATTTATAAATTTATATATATATGTTTATTTATAAATAATTCATTTTTATTACCATCCTTACACTAATAGTTGGAGTTTTTGGCAATAGTAAAAAACTATGTCAAAAAGAGGTTTTTACACAACGGTTAAAACCAGATAAAATTGTCAATTGTGACCAAAAGTGCCAATTTTCACCCCGCCAGATACCTTAAGTTTCTTCTACTTTTAACCCTATACTGACATTACCTAGATACTATAAGGGAATGTTTTTTGATAAATCCATGGAATTTTACAATGCATAAATTAAAACATTGTCTTAAAATACATAATCTGAAAGAATGCTTTCAAAGAATTACCTCTGGTTGACTTTCTACTATAACAGACATAATATTTTCACCACGTATAATAGCTGTGCCAATTGTTTTTTTCCCTTCAACTGGTGCCCTCCTCTTTGCTTTATACTTCTTGTATTCAACACAACCAGTCAGCACGATGTTCATGTGCTTATCATAAGCACTGAATGTTCCAACAAATGTTCGGTTATCACATAATATAATTCGCATCTTGGCATTTAGCAGTTGTAAAATCTGGTTATTTCTTCCAACAGTCTGTAAGAGTAATCAAGAATAAAAAGATAAACTTAAACATTGACGAAATAAATATCAGCAATGTTTTTTTACTTCAATCTTTATAGATATCATATTATTTCAAAGTAAGCATTTTTAGTATACAGTGAAACCTCCTGTTATGGACACTCCTGCAAAACGGACGCCTCTCAATACAGACATATTTTTAATTCCCCGGGAATCTTCTATGAATAAACCATTATGTACATTCTCCGCAAAGCGGACACTCCCGTAACCGGACAGTCATTTTGGTCCTGAAACATTTTTTATCTCTACAAACCGGACACTACTTTTTCTAAATAAATTGCAAGCCTTTTCACAATTTTTAAAGCATGTAAATAAAAAATTTTGTCATATCCATAGCTAAAAATATTGTTAAGCTATTTCACTACCGAAAAATCAATCTTTCTCCTGTCACCTTGCCTTAGCTTTGTAAAGAAAGGAGAGAAAATGGTACTGCACTCCTGAAATAATTCTGACATCGGCATCTTTTCATTTGGACCACACAGGTTATGCAGAGCTCATTCTAGGCAGAAAAAAGGGCAGGGTGCAAAAGTTTAAAAAAGGGGCATTATTATTCTAAAAAGGCAATAATTTCTTTCTATGGGCCTTACACGTTCTATTAAAAAACTTTGTCAATCAGTAAAAGAATTTTTATTTTATTTTTAATTTTACTAAAAGTAGCAAAGCAATCATATTAATTAGGGTGACCTGGGGTAATTCCTGATCAAAAAATGCAAACATCTATTTTGTGAAAAAACTATTCAAGATAGAATTTTAATATTTACTGGAAGTTTGAGGCTATATGAGATGAGTCCTATGCCTCCTTCTTTAGTTTGAAAATCTAATTAGAATTTAAAAGATTTTAAATTTTTAGTGATCAGGAATTACCCCTGGTCTTGATCATTTCTGGGGTAATTCCTGATCACTTCTGGGGTAATTACTGATCACCAGTTTTTATTGTAAAGGGGCTGTTTAAAAATAATTATATAATGGTAATTAACAAATAAGACATCAAGATCAAACAAATAAACCAAAAAGATATGTTTANTGTAGTTATGATTTAATAATTAAAATGATTAATAATAATTATGATTTAATGATAATGGAAGTAACTGCAAACTTTCAAAGACAAGTGCAACAAGGGGGTTTCATGGCTATCTTTCCTTTCCCATATAAATCTATGTATTGACAGCAATGACAAAATAAATAAAAAGAGTTAAAAACAACAAAAGTTTAAGAAATTCATTGCAGAGTTTGGGGAAAAAAATAAAGAAGGGTTAAGGACAGAAAGGGTATGGAGTCTATTACATCAGGGCACTAATTTACTTCAGGGGCAACAGGGTGAATTTTTTTTACTAAAAGGGCAGCAGGGTTCTGCGCCCTGTTTACCCTGCCTAGAATGAGCTTTGGGTCACCCTACTAATTTTTATTTATAAATTAACATATATATCGAGTTAATGAGCTAATTATCTTAGTAATTTATTTAAAATGCATGCATATATTAATAAAATAATAAATGTATGTTTTTAAGTGTCTGTAGTTATGATTTAATAATTAAAATGATTAATAATTATGATTTAATGATAGTGGAAGTAACTGCAAACTTTCAAAGATAAGTGCAATAAGGGGATGTGATGGCTATTTTGCCTTTCCCATATAAATCTATGTATTGACAGCAACGACAAACTAAATAAAAAGCGTTGAAAAGTTTAAGAAATCCATTGTAGAGTTTGGTGGAAAAATAAAGAAGGGTTGAGCCCAGAAGCAGAAAGTGCCTAAAACTGTGACGTATGTCGCAGAACAAACGAAATCCTGCAGAACAATTTGTATCTTGAATCTCTTTAGCTTTGACCACTTGCTGTTTCCCTGGAGTGATGTTGCTTTAAAAGAGGAACATTCAGCACATTTATCAGTATTCTCCCTCTCCTATATCATTCTGAGGAGGAAATTAAAGAATAAGCTTTTGGCTATAACATTTTTATAAAATGAGTGTATCAGTGTTTAGCAGACAGCAGGAGAAATCGATCACCTATTTTATCGAGAAAGCTTCTAAATCAAGCCGTAAAAGATTTAAATTCCGGGTTTTCCAATTTCATAAAGTTTATGACTTTTATATTTTCCATTCCCATTTCAGAAGCAATTTGTGAATCGTGGGGATCCACGATTGACAGAATTGTTTCTGAAAGACCAAATGCTTTTGATGGAGATGAAGAAGTTGTTGGAACAACAGCCAGCGAATGTTTGTGTTTGCAAATGGTGCACCATTTGGGCTCTTGTCCCTTCAAAAGATTTTTAAGGCAGCCCTTATTTTAATGTTCGGACCTTCATGTCATAGGTATTTTAATAATAATTCATCATCGTCGCCATAAACAAAATTTGTACTTCAAAAGTGATTGAAAAAGTAACAAATCTAGAATGTTTGCCTTGGTTTAAAAAATAATGTAGTGTATGATCCTGTATTTTAATAAGTGAAAATATAGTATTCTAACTTAAAGTTGACTTTTTTTCGCAGTGAAATGCTTGCAGAACATTTGAAAATATTCTGCTTATGGGGGGTTGAGGAAAGAAAGGGTATGGACTCTATTATATCAGGGTACTAATTTACTCCAGGGGCAACAGGGTGGATTCTTTTGACTAAAAGGGCAGCAGGGTGAAGACTGTATGTAACACAACTGGGGTAAAAAAAGTAGAAGTATAATCTTTGAGGTGTTTATAGAAATGAAACATTTATTCAGACACTTGATAACTGATCAATTGTGAATAATCATCTCTTTAGGTCCTCATGACTTACAGGTATGCATTACTTTTTTTTCCTGTGAATCATGAGACATTTATTTTCCAAGAAGGTATTAACCATGTTCTCCATCAAATGATAAGTAGGTGTAAGGGGATGTGAACCTAATAATTGAAACGGACTGAGGACAGTACGCTCCTATTGGTATCATATGTCTAACTAGAGTATCTATGCTAATAGGAAAATTATATTTATTTATCTGTAGCTACATCCAGAATTATGTATTTATATCAAACTTCTTTATATATTCTTTTTTATCTTTCTTATTGTTTAAATAAATATTCTTGTAGATATTTACAGTATCCTTGTAGATATTATTGAATTATTTCTACATCTTTGAGAATATTCTAAAAACAATTTATGGTGTTAAATTTCGTTATTAGGGTACACTTCCCGTAAACGGACAAATTTTTTGGTCCCATGAATGTCCGCTTAGTGGAGGTTTCACTGTATATACTTGTATTTGATTATAAAAGGAAAGATCTTTGTTAAGTTAAAAAAAAAAAAGCTTAACTCTGGAATATATGAGTTTTAGCTAAACCACAAATTAACATGGTGCAACAAGAGTTTATGCTCAAAATTCCATTACATAACCCTGGGGTAATTGTGACACAAAGTGAAAAACCCTGAAAATTTTCTGTGCAAAAAAATCGATATCACGTTATTAATTTATATACCAATTTTTTAATTAAATTACCGACCAATGAAAAATATCACACTCATATAATAATTAATTTAAGAAAAATCTTAGATCTTACACAAATCGCGATATTTGGATTTTAAAAGTGCGTGAATATGAATCGCAATAAGTAGCTCTTAATTCAGGTAAAAATATGTAAATCGACATTTGATATTACGTATTGCAATATTAATTTTAAAAATGCGTAAATACAAATTCCACCATTGGAATTTTAAACCATGTGCATAAGAATCGCGATGTATGATTTTTGATACAAGCCATGGACAATGCATAAGTTTTTTAATCGACATGAATACAAATCACAACATGTAACTTTTAAATTAGGGTAAATACGAAAATCGATTTTTGACTTCAAACCACGTGAATAAGAATCAACATATTAGTGGATTGCGGTACAGTTCAAAATAGTGAAAATTCGCCAAACCAAAAGGATCAAATTGGCAGATTTCAGTTCATTGGAGGAAGAATCAAGTGTATGTAAGCATCTCATTAGCGGAAATTAGCAAAAGTTTCAAAATTTGAATTTTAGCGTGTGGAACTCCGTGAAAATTTCGTCTGATAAATACGTTTTGATTAGCGAAAATCCGAGAACCAACGGTCTTGAAAAACGCGGGATTCCACGATGTTCCTATAAAATCATATACTATGCTCCCAATTTTTAGATGCTTAATGATATTACGAAAAACCTAGAATTCCTCGGTACCTCCTCGGAACACCCCTGATAACCTAAAATTGACAAGAATGTAACTTCGAGTTAGCCAACCAAATGCCAAAATATAACGATCAGTTATCACATTAGAAACTTGAGATACCTGAAAGTTAAACGCTATTTACGTAATCATGGGAAAAGCGAGAAAGAAATTCTCTTCAAATCAGTGTGACAAATTGATTGTGAGATAGAATAGGGAAATTTTAATGTTTTTTTTTTGCCATGAATTTTTTATTTTTTAAAACAAATCAACATCTCCCAAACAAGTCTTTTCTTTTTCTTTGATTTCTGAGGATTAAATACTTTATGTATGCATTTTAGTGAATAGAATAGACTGAAATTGAAAAAAAAAATTAAAAAAATTCATTTTTATGCTTCATACTACCAATAAAGTGAAAATTCAAATTTTAATTGGACTAATAAAATGGCAATAGATCTATTTTTTAAAAAAAATTCAATAATAAAATAGGAATATAATTAAGCTGTACTAAATCATTTTTTAGTGCTAATGAAAACCAAGGAAGTTCTAACATCCAATATCCAGGGCCAGGGTTCCAATCATTTCAGTTAATTGGTTCTCTGTACTGTATTAACATAATTTGGCTATGATAATTTGACAGTTTTATTAAATTATGTTTAACATTCTCCTTAACGCTAAATAGAAAAAAATAAATGATAGTTGCCTTCATTTCAAAAGAAATTTATTCTTTTTTTTATTTATAAAATTACACCTTTTCTTAATGAGACCCAATGTTTGAAACGGTGTAAAAATACTAATTTGCCATCATATGTTTAAAAAATTTTAATAATTGATATTTTTAATTGAAAAACGAGTTTTTTTCATTACTCATTTAATTATTTCCTTATTTTTTTTCCCACTGCGACTGAGGAAGAAATTTGCCGTTCCTGATTGAAACTAAAGTTAAATTAAAAAAATTTAGTAGCAAAAATAAGGAATATTCCATTGCATAAATAATGTAAATATGGAATATGGAGTAGCAATAACATGGAATATAAGTAGCAAAAATATGGAATACGGAATAACTTCAAGCATGTATAACAAAATTGTGGTAATTACTTATATTAAACTAGTTTTAGCTGCTTAAGTCTTCATTTCAATTTGTCTAACTTATAAACTAATTCCTTCTCTTCTGGAAGAAGACAGTTCTTTGTTTTCTTAACGCAACCGTAACACGATTTCGCTTACGGACATAATACTATTAAAAGCTACATAATGACTATATATTTAAGTGAACAGAATAAATAAAACATTATAAGCATAAAACAAACAATTTCTATAGTGAAAATAGCTTAGCCCTCATAATTGATAGGCAAATCGAAAGAGGGAAAATGACAGAACACACGTTAAATATACATATAATATCAAAAATAATAAATAAGATTAAATAAAAATTATCTGTTGAGCTAATTTACCATTTTGATTGAGGCTCAAATATTATTCTTGAAACTCAAAAGAAAGAACACTACTAGAAACAAATAATTAAAATAAATTGTCAATTATCCCGGTATCGAGCAAACTCATAAATCAAATTATAAAAATGACGAAAACTTGATCGAGTTGAGGTGTTTTAAATAAAGTTTGAAGAAGAAAGTTCAAAATTTAAAATAATATTCTGGTGTTATAAATTATGGAAATGGAAAGATTTCCAGCTTAAAAAAATACTTAAAACTTGGCTTTATTGTTCATCGAGTCTTTATTCATTCAGAAGAAAATTTTAAAAAAAAATTGGGCTTGCATAAGTTTAAAAGCAAGTAGCTTTCAGTAGAACAACTTAAGCCGTGTTTATTTACTGAAATCTCTGAACGGAAAATAAGCACAAGAAGAAATCATTTTAATTTGACTAATAAAGTAAAATATAGATATGTTTTGTAATTAGGATTTCTCTAAAACTAGAATTTTTTAAATTCCATTTAGCTTTTTTCCCTGTAGTAAAAATCCTCCAACCGGTATCGGGTAATGCAGATTATCAGAGCATTTGCATATTACTTTTCATCTTATATATTTAAAAATTACTTAAAAAATATATCCTAGCTCGTGATGGTTATTTTTTTCCAGATTTATGAAACAAGCCTAAAATATTTCTCAGATGAAAAACAGAAAAACCAAGATTAATTGCTTAAATTTAATTTACTAATTGTTTTTTGATTCCTAACTAAAAATTTCTCAATCTGCCGTTATTTTAGCAAATTAAAATAATGACTTTCAAAAATTCCGATTAATTTTCTTTAATTAACTGGAAATTAAAAGAATACTAATTTTGAAAAGCAAAAAAATGAAGAAATAAATTTATAATTTCCAAAAACTCTAATTGCTTGTTAGTATGTATTAAATGTGTGTTATTGCGACTTATTCTATTTTTTAAATTTTAATTGTTCCATTCATTTAAAATTGAATTAAATTTTATAACTAAAATAAATTTTTATCATTTTTGGTGTGTTAGGATCACAAATAAATTTGAATTCTTGAAAAGTGGGCTGCAGATTTCTTTTGTAAATTCTGCTACCTCAACTTAACAAATTATCATTAAGTATCAGAATTTCTTTAATGTATCTAGAGATGTAAAACATTTTATCTTACTGAAAATTTCCACAAAAAGTTTTCTTTCAATTGCAATTGCCAAGGTTCTAAATAGATTTTAAACTTGCAAATTTAAAAAAATAATAATAATAATTAAATTTGCAGAGGTTTTTATTGGGGTATTTTTGAGTTATACCCTTTAACTTGGTCTTCTTTTGTGATTTATTTTTTTTTTTTTTAAGTTTAAAAGTGGTTAGTTAAAAGTTTCAGTTGTTAAAGTCATTCAGTGCAAAATTAAAGCTGGTCCAGTTAAAAGTTTGCCTCTGCCTGGAAGTTGCCAAGATTTGGCAAATATTCTACCATAGACCATATGGAAATCTTATGATATATATGATAAGTATATATGATATTGTTATATATATGTATATTGTTATATATATGTTATATATATATATATATTATGATATATATGATAAGTATATATATATGATATAATGATAAAATATTCTACCATATGGAAATCTTCCCCTTCTTTCATCCTTAATATAATTTTTTAAATTCATTTTGTATTTATAGAAATCTTAATGCATTTCAAAGAAGTTTATGATGTTTGTTTCAGAACACCAGCATGAAGAAACCAAGATTTAATCAACTGTATGGAACTCCTGCTCATAAGCTAAGGCATAACATAGCAATGGCATTAACTGCTGGAACTGTTTTTGCTTCAGTTATCGTTTTGTAAGGATCTTTGCTTACTAATAACGAAATGTTAATTAATGTACTAAATGTAAATACAGTAGAACCTCTGTTATCCAAATCTCTTTAGTCTGCAGTGGACTGATCATTAAGACACAGTTCCCTGCAGATATCACTGAAGTCAAGCATCACTGGCTACGGTCAGTGAGCGGGTGGGTGACATGTTGGATTAGTCTGTGTAGGGACCAAGGGTGTGTGGTATTGGTCCTCGTTAAACTGTTCTACCATGAAGTGTTGGACTTCGCGTGTAGGTTGTCGGGCTATCAAAGCGGGGGTGCCATCCCCTCTGCACAGAATCAAAATTGTGATGGCATATCTTCAGATCATCCTCATGGATGTTCCCCAGACCGTCGCCAATAGCCCATTGTGCAGCTTTAGTGCGACATAAATGAACTACAACTACAACCAAATCTCTTTAATTCAATGTTTTTTTTCTTTCTTTCACGTGCTTGTTTTTTTCTTCTTTTTTTCCTCCCTTCCATTCGTCCATTTGAGTAAAACTTACCATAATTCATCGATAAATTAAGCTTGCTTTCCTGAATAAAACTTGAAATAAAAAAACACTTAGTACTGTGTTACTATATAAAATTAATAATTTTTTGTGAATAACAAAAATAAGTTGGGTTTGGATAAACAGGGTTCCTACACTATTTTGAGAAAACAATATCCTGACTTTTGCTGGTTTTTCCTGACCTTTTACAGTAAAATTCCTGACCTGCCATTTCCCACTCCAACAAAACTTTTAACATTGCAGTTTCAATTAGTAATAATATACTACTTAGTCATAAGTATCATATGTTGAATTGGATAAACACTGATATATTAAAGTGGAATTGCATAATAGCTCTTTATATCCCAAATTATATTTTCAGAAAACTTGTGAAACATGTATTTAATTTTCATGATTAGATTGAACTTTTAGTATGTTTTTGTAGTTAGATACGAAAACTATTTAAATAAAAAGATCAAGAAAATCTGTTGGATTATGGAAATATTATTTTATTTAATGTTAAGTGAAACCAAATGCATAAGTGTCATCAGGATATAAAGGGTTAATCAAATCTGCAATATATGTATCAGTATCCTCAAATAATATTTACTCTTAAAACATACTAGAACATTTGTTACATTAAGTTATTAATTTTTAAAAATCACCTATTTACTTCAAACTGACTTTTCTTTTAAATATTGAAATATAAAGGGGAAAAAAGTCAAGAAAAGTTAATTATATACAAATAAAAATTCAGATAAAAAAATTATGCAACTTGTGAGAAAAATAATATCAAAAATATCTTTTTTTTCCCCAGTATTTTTAAATTTATTTCTGTAATACAGTAAGCTTCCAGAGAAACTCAGGGGCTCCTATGTTATATAATATTTTTCAACATATTTTGTTGTTTGACAATTTCTGAATCAAGAACATCCAGTTCTGTTGCAGCAGTTTTTGTCAATTTAGATTTTCTTAATTTCAAATCATCTACCTTTCCTTTTATTCGTTTTCTAGAAATTTCAGCTTTTTTATTCTCTTTGTTTTTTTTTTGTTTTTTTTTGGCTTCTAATGCATGTCCATCTTGTTCTAGATCCTTTTACAGCATCTAGCATTTTCTCATTAATGTTTATGTTTCTTATTCCATTTATAAATGAAACATAATCATGCACACGCTTTTGTGAAATAATAGAGTCTTCATTGAGGTTTTCAACCAATAAGCTTTTATTGATTGAAAAACCCCCTTCGACTGTTGCGCTACCATGAGAGAGGATAAGAACAATTTTTATAACCTCCCACAAATTTTCAAGTTTTTTTTCTCGGTGCAAATATTTAGAAAAAAAATTATCTAATCTCTGTTGCTGTGGATTAAACTCTAAGAAACTCCTTTGTTGTTGTTCTTTTATTTTTGGCAGCATCACAAAACAGTAAAAATTCCTTTTTTGCTTTTTCTGCTGTTTTTTCAGCTACCCAGTTATTAACATGGAGAATTTCCAGACAGGTATCCATCCTTTGTTGAGCAATGGATGGATGTTGAATGATCAATTCTGGAACTAAACTTGAAATGCCATGTGTCATACTACACAACAATGGACTTTTTTCAAGCATTTTTTCGACCTTCGTCAAAAGGAATTTTAGACATTCTAACTTAAAATATCCCTTTTCTTTCTCACTAATTTTTATCATGTTCAGATATTTACTTGCTGCAAAACCTATATTCACATTATTAACACTTAATAGATTGTCATTGCTTGTCAATACTTGCTAGTTTTTTTGCAGTTGTAGCATTGTCTATGACCGACTTTTTTACACAACGCAGCAAAAGATTTCGTGTTAGTTCCAATATACTGGAATATAAGTATGGACTGAGAGGTTTGAAAATTTAAAAGAAAAGGCTGAAATTCTTCAGAAATTAGCTTAAAGAATGCTAATTTTGGTAGCATTATCGGATCCTTAACACAGTCTTCGACATTTTTTATTGAGATTCCGGCTGGCTGAGAATTTTTTTTCTCTTCCATGTACCTTTTAAGACAAATGTTCCATGTGCAAGAAAGAGAAAATTTTCTTAACTGTTGTCTGTAAACCAGTTATTCACACAAAGAGCAATAAACCTAGCAACCCTATCAAAAATTCCTTATCATTGGATAAACAGGAGGAAAATTGCTAACAGGACAGGTTCTACCAGGGAAAGAGGAATGTTATTATGAGGAAATTACATATTTTGAATTACAGAATTTTTCCTTGAAACTTTATTTTTGCCTCTCAGTCCTTGAATGAACATAGTTTTTTTTATTTTTCTAACTTTATGAATATGTAAGAAAAATCCTGACTTCATGAATATGTCAGAAAAATCCTGACTTTTTAGCTTAATTTTAGAATATCCTGACCGTGCAGGTTTTCCTGACCAGGTAGAAACCCTGATAAAAAAAAAACTAGAATTTTTATTATTTTAATTGTTTTATCATTATTAATAGCATAATTTAGTTAAACCATCATGGCTTCTTTTGTTAGAAGGGAGGCATGTTACGTTATTTGGAAAGAAAAATATAATGTATTAATGAGAATTGAATTCTAACATAGTTTGTATAGGAATATAAGTTTATGAAATAAGCATTAAAAAAAATCAGCTAAAAATGCAAAATTAGGTGCTGCTTTTTACAAATTGTTAATTAAACAAAAAGGAAGGGAAGGAGTACTATTAAGTGCACAAAATTACAAGTGAATTTTATTATAAAATATTTTTATACCTATTTAACGAAAAGATATGTTATGCATGATCATATTTAAATTAAAATAGACTTCTAAATATCCAGTCTAACGTATCAGAAGGGTAGGCCAGATAGAATGTTCCACCTACATACCTCCTAACCACTCTCCCACATAATTAAAAATATAACTTACATATTTTAAAATAGATTATTATTTCAAAAATATTCAAAGTATATTAATAAACTCTAT